AATGTAAACTGTACCTTGGAGTAATCAAATAGTTGAGGGGGAGGTTTCACTTTTTACAAATGTGCCAGCTAATAAATTGAGAAGGAATGATAGAACATCACCCGTTTTCTAACGCTGGCTTAATAAATGGATTTAGGAAACCATTAATGGCTGCTGGCATCACACAGAGGGAGACATTGTACACCGTCTAATGGAAGTACACACCACTGCTATGATAGCAGCCTTGCCAACACTCTGAAGTCTTTTGATCAATATACCAATTTATAGGAAATACAGGAGGCAAAGGAACATGTTAAATGACACCATGGGGTTGGCCGGGCGCGGTGGCTCACGCCTGTAATCCTAGCTCTCTGGGAGGCCGAGGCGGGCGGATTGCTCAAGGTCAGGAGTTCGAAACCAGCCTGAGCAAGAGCGGACCGCTCTATTATAAAAAAAAAAAATGACCACCGATTGGGGAAATCTGATTGTGGGGAAATCTGTACAGGACCAGACAATGACTCAGTCTCTAAGCAAAATAAATTTCTATGAGGAAGAGAGAAGGAGAGAGACGAGAGAGATGGAGAGAGAGAGATGATGCTGAAATTTATGTTAAAAAGACTTTATCCTGGGAATGGGGTCCAGGCCGAATCCCCTGCCATGCTGGTGAGTAGCAGGAGGCACTTGGCTCGGGGGTTCGAGACCCGGGCCTGAGCAAGAAGCCAGCTGTCTTTTACTAAATAGAAAATTGTGAGTGTGGTGGTGATGCCTGTGGTTCCAGCCTATCAGGAGGCTGGGCAGGAGGATTGCTTGGATGCAGGATTTGAGGTTGCTGTGCTGGATGACCCATGGCACTTGCCCGGCAAACCTGAGTGACACTCTGTCTAAAAAAAAAAAAAAATAGCTCGAAAGGTTATTACCCATAAAAGAAATAAAAAAAAAAAAAAAAAAAAAAAAGGCTTAAGAAAGAGCCAACCCATTTTCATTATTATGGAGCTTATTGAGATTCTGATTTGGAAAAACTGTAGTATACATACATACTTACAATAACCTGGGGGAAGGTTGATACTGATGGATTTTTATGTATTAGAAATTAGTTGTTTAATTTTAACGGTGGTCCAAATGTAGTGGGTATATGTATTAAGGGGAGTTTTTTGTGTTGTTGTTTTTTTTTTTTTTTTTTTTTTGAGACAGAGTCCTCGCTTTGTTTTCAGGCTAGAGTGAGTGCCTGTGCGGTACACTAGTCCACAGCAACCTCAAACTCCCTGGGCTTGTGTCGATCCTCTCCTGCCCTCAGCCTCCCGGGAGTAGTGGGATACAGTCCATGTCCCCATGCCCGGCTAATTTTTTATATGATATATCACAGTTGGCCAATTAATTTCTTTCTATTTAAGTAGAGACGGGTCTCGCTCTTGCTCAGGCTGGTTGAACTCCGACCTTGGGCAATGGCCACGCCCGGCTCGCCAGGCACGCACCCTTTTTGTTTTTTGCTGGTAACTAATCAAGTGTAAAAAGGAGGGTTTTTTTTTTTTTTTTTTTCCGGAGGACAGAGTCTCGCTTTGTTGCCCAGGCTTAGGGTGAGTGACATGGCTTCAGCTAAGCTCAGAACTCAACTCGTGCCTCAAATCCTGGGCCAAGCGAATCCTACTCGCCAGCTGAATACAGCATGTGGGTCCATGCCGGCTCACTTTCTTTCTGTATACAGCCCTTCCCGCCACATTATATTACCCTACGTTGGCCCAACCTAACCATTTCTTCGCTACACTCTATAGTAAGAGACGGCCAGGTCTCACTCCTTTGCTCCCAGTTGGTTCTCCGACCACTCCCCCTGAACTCAAACGATACGCCGCGCTCCGGCTCCCGAGAGCGCTAATTTCGCGCCCGGGGTGTTTTTTTGAAGACGAACTCTTCCTCTTCTCGCCTAGGCGTGCCCACGTGGCGTCATCATGCTCCGGAACCCTCACTCCATGGGATCAACCTGCCCGATCTCCCTGATCAGCCTCCAGAGTATCTGTGACTATAGGCACGCACCATCACACCCGGCTAATTTTTCAATTTTTTGTAGAGATGGGGTCTCACTCTTGCTCAGGCTGGTCTCTAACTCATGAGCTCAAGTGATCCTCCCACGTCAGCCTCCCAGAGTGCTAGGATTATGAGCATGTGAGCCACTCCTTCTGGCCTTGAAAGAGGTTTTATTTATGGAGATATACTGACACTATGGACAAAATTATATTTATGAATTTACTTCAAAATCATTAAGGAGGAGGGGGAAGTTAGCCATGGATTTTTAATTGCTAAAGCTGAGTGATGAGTATGTGGGGTTTATTATATTATTCTCTCCACCTTTGTGTATATTTGAAATTTTCTTTTTCCTTTTTTTTTTTTTTTTTTCAGAGGAAGGGTCTTGCTCTGTTTCCCGGGCTGTACTGCAGTGGCTTGATCATAGCTCACTGCAGCTTCCAACTCCTGTCTTCAAGCAATCCTCCTGCCTCAGCCTACCAAGTAGCTGGGACTTATGGGCATGCACCACTGTACCTGGCCTGAAATTTTTCATAATAAAATTATTTTACAAAATCATGTCTCTTAGGTAAGGCAAATGTGCCAAAATGTTAATATGTGGTACTATTCTTTCAACTTTTCTGTAGGTTTGAAACTTTTCGGAATGAAATATTAAGGGAAAAACATCATCTTTTGTCCTGATCTTTCACCCCAGCTGGAGGCCCCCCCAGTCCAGCCCTCAGGCCATTCTAAGCCATTCTCTGGGACTGGCAGAAGTTTCATCGTCACAGGCCATCTGAGAGAGCAGCCACCAAACCCAGCAAGGGCATCGACTTGGGGAGTCATGTTGTCACCACTGTCCCTCTCATCTCATCCCTCCCTCCCTCCTTCTTCTCCTGTGATTTAATGGTGAACAAAAGTGCTTAAAGGGAAGTGGGGGAGGTAGATAAGCAATTAACAAATAAATATTCACACGGCTTGTTCACAAGCATTGGACTGTGAGTCTTTAGAACCTCTGAAGGAGGTGACAGGCTGCTCCTGGGCACCCAGGAGGGCTGTGTAGGACCAAGGCCCCCAGAGTCCTGGGCGTGGGGTGGAGTGGGGTGCGCCTGCTGAAGCCTGCGCAGCTCCAGGGCCTGGGGCGCTGGGAGAGCTCCCAGCAAGGGGACACACCCAGGGCCCCCTGCGGAGCCCCGCGTGGCCCTGATCCGCCCAACGGGTCTGGAAGGCGCCCCAGGACAGGTTGAAGGAGCACGAGGAGCGACCTGCAGCCTGGTCCAGGAGTGGGGGGGTGGGGGCGGTGGGGAGGGTGGGGGGGGCGGCCACTGCCGCTGCGCTCGATCAGGTGGGGGCGAGGGGTCCCGAGCGCAGGCGCCCCCTCCCCAGGCCCGGTGCCCCCTCCCCCTGCTCCCCGACTCCGCCCGGGTGGCACGCGCGCCTAGCGCGGGGGACCAGCGCGCGCGGCGGGATGGAGGAGGAGCTGGCGTGGGAGACCGACGGCCGTGAGTCCGCGGGCCGCCGGGCCGGGGGCGGGAGCCGGGGGCGGGCCGAGGCCCAGAGGACCCCCGCATCCGTGCGGGGCGGCCGAGGGTGAGGTTGGCGCGGTCCGCGTGGCCGCCTCGGTCTTGGGCTCCTTTGTAGCTCCGAGCGGAACGCGCGCCTGCGGCCGAGGGGACATTGGCCGGGCATCTGGGACTCGGGGGCGCCCCCCGCCTGGGGAGCTGGGAGCCGCGGCTGAGGGGACATTAGCTACTAATAGTGAAGGTACTAGCGACCCTTCGTTGAGTACTGCACGCATCCCACGCACGGGTGGGATGAGGCCTGGAGGCAGGACGGCATGTCCTTCGATCCTCCCTGCAGCCACATGGGTAGACCTGTTGTTATCTCCCTTTTGCAGATGAGAAAGCTGAGGCACGGGCTGGTTAAGGGAGTTGTACAAGGTGACACAGCCATTAAGTGGTAGGATGCTGCAGGCCCCAGCTCCTCCCGAATGTTGGGGTCGGGTAGGGAGTGGGGAGCATGTCAGAGGGGGAAGCAAACCCACAGGAGAGGGTGGCCGCGTGTGGGACGAGGGCACCTCAAGCCTCCCTCGAGGAGCGTGCCAGTGCCAGGGCCTGTAGGCCAGGCAGCTGCATGTGTGTGGGGGCCTCGGCCGGCCTGGGGGAGCTTTGGCGGCACTGCCTGGGAGTGGGGAGCGAGGATTGTCCCCACCGTGGGTCCTCGATTCTGCAGCCCTGGCTGAGCCCTGACAGCTGAAGCCAGGGGCTGTCTCCACATCCCCATGGTGCGGCTCACCCATGAGACCTACAGTGTCCAAATGCTGAAGTAAACTATCTACTCAGCTGAGGGGTCGTGTTGGGGATGGGGGGCTGGATCCGGTGCTGATTGTGTCTAAGCGAGGACGTGGTTCTGCCTGGGGCAGAGATCACCTGAGTGAGCCGGCAAAGCGTGTACAATGGAGCACTGGGGTGTGTGCAAGGGAATTCCGGGGGGGGGGGGCACAGCCTGGGCCCAAGCTCAGCGACCAGAGAGCGCAGTGGGTACTGCATGTGGCCGGAAAGAGGGTGTGTGGAGGAGGTGAATGGAAGAGATGAGAAGAGATGAGACTGGACTGGGTTTGATTCTAACTTGACCTTCTCTGGCCTGGCTCTGTGCAGCGTCTGCTGGCTCTCTGTTGAGACTCTTGGCTGTTTGCCAACACAAACCAGGCCATTCCCTGTGAGCTGCAGCTAAGAGAGAGGGTGCCGGAGCGGCAAGGGACGCAAACAGATCCTTTCCTTCACCCTCCCCCAGTTTTACAACTGAAGAAACTGAGACTCCCCCCACAATGGGGTGTGAGTAGCCTAGGACCCCCTACTGGAAAGTGGCAGAGCAGGTACTAGAACCCACACCTCTGTAAGCTCACACCTGAAGCCACAGCTCTTTCCAAACCTGCATCATGAGGTTAAGGAAAGGAAAGAAAAGCTCGAGACACAGTGCTTACCTGAGATGCTTTGGTTCTGAGAACGGCTCTTCTAAAGCCTGTTATGTTATCTTGAGAAGGGCCCCCTTTTCACCTGCACCGTAGGCAGACCTCTTTGGGACCAGGTAAGGGTGGAGCCATCGATGGGACCAAATTCAGAAGGTGATCTTCCTCCCAAGCACCCTCCTCCTCTGAAGTATTGACGTGAAGCTGCCCAGCCCCTGGAGCCTCTTTCCTGCCATTGACCTGAGCTTATATTTTGGTTTTCTAGGGGACTAATGAATCTTAACTGGGGTAGCATCTTCTAGTTCACGGCCTCTGAAGAGATTTAATGAGCCATGCATCACTCATGCATTCAACAAGTATGCGCCATGGCCTGAATTTGGGTATATAGTAGTTAACAAATCAGACTAAAATCCCCCACCCCATGGGCTTATATCGGAATGGGGTAAGCAGACAATAAACCCAATAAATATGTAAATATAGCAAATGCCATAGTATATGGAGAAAAACAGTGCAGGGAGGTGGGAAGAGAGTATGTTTTTCTTGGTTGGGGCTTCACTGGCTCAGGGGGCCTAAACGAAGGAGGCCTCACCACCTCCATATTTTTTTGGCCTCCAGAATTTATTCTCTGACACTTTGCCTTGGAGGAATAATAGTGATGATAACGATGATGATAGTGGTGGTGTGGGCACTATGAGCCAGACACTGTGCTAGAGGCTTTTCATATCTTCTTTCTTTTTTTTTTGAGACAGAGTCTCACTTTGTTGCCCAGGCTAGAGTGCCATGGCATCAGTCTAGCTCACAGCAACCTCAAACTCCTGGGCTCAAGCAATCCTCCTGCCTCAGCCTCCCGAGAAGCTGGGACTACAGGCATGCGCCACTGTGCCTGGATAATTTTTTCTATATATTTTTAGTTGTCCAAGTAATTTCTTTCTATTTTTAGTAGAGACAGGGTCTTGCTCTTGCTCAGGCTGGTCTTGAACTCCTGACCTTGGGCGATCCTCCCGCCTCGGCCTCCCAGAGTGCTAGGATTACAGGTGTGAGCCACCTCGCCCAACCATATCTTATTTCTTATAATTATAATAGCATTGCAGGCAGCTCACATCCCCATTTTGGAGATGAGGAAACCGAGGCATTGAGTAATTGAGTAATCTAAGTGACACAGCCAGAAAGTAGCTCGGCCGGAGTTGAACCCAGAACCATGTGACTGCCCTAGGGCAGCAGATGTGAGGTCCACAGGTCGGATCCACGAGGTCCTCTTCCACATGTGGAAAGCTGTGCGGAATCTATCTAGAAAAACAAACTGCATGGCAGGCCTATCTGTTACCAAGGTGCATCCTAGCCTTCCCTGCCAAGACACTGGTCACCTGTCCCTGGATATACAAAGGGGCTGGGGTCCAGACATTCACACTGGACCAAACATGCAGGATGTGGGTTTGGTAGCTATAAAACTGCAAGCTTACTTGCCCTGTAATGACGGTTCGAAGAGCCAGGAATTTTTTGTCCTCTGTGCTAGTGTGTCAGCCTTTCTGGAGGAGGGACAGGTATCCATTAGTCTGGGGGTTATTAGTGTCACTCATAGAAGCAGAGGTTTGTGGATTCCTCCCTGTGCCCAGCTTTGGGCCTGCTGTCAGCCGTGGTGGATCAGAAGGGTCAGGTGTGGCCAGTGCCCCCAAGGAGCTTACGGTCTAGCCAAGGAGACCAGACATGCTCACAGGCAAGAGCAGTCAGGATGATGGCAGCAGGGGGTCTGGTGGGATGAGCCTTACACCATGTCACCAGGCCTGGCTCCTCCTGGCTCAGACACTCACCTGCAGAGAGACTCTCAGCCATAGCGGCCTGTGACGGGTTCGTAGGGGGAGCTCTGAGTTCCTTTTAGTCAGACTCTCTGAGTTACTGTCGCATCGACTAGGGGGGAGTCAGGAAGCAGTCGGGCGGGCCTCGAGTGGAGGTGACTGAGTAGGATGCAGGGGTGAAGGAGAAGAGGTGGGGGAACAAGAGATGGAAGGTGCGCAAGGGTGTAATCGAGCCTCCAGCCTCGCCTGGGGCTGGCACAGTTAGTGGTCGTCATCTGCTCGTCCCACACCGCGCGAGCCTGTGGCAGAGTAGTGGCTGCACTCCGTTCGCCGGCGTCACTCGCGGTGGGCCCGAGGGACACGAGGGGCCAAACACCAGGCTGCTTCCGCTCGTCTTGCCCATTGTCCCCCCGCGGAGTCTTGCCACATCCTGGACCGTGGACGGTCCGGGCGAGTCCACGTTAGTCACCGAGAGCATGGCTGGGCCGGGCTCTCCGCTGTATGCCTCGCGCACCTGGGAGGCGAGGCCGCGCTCGCCAAGGCAGAGTTTCGCACCCGAGCTGGCAAGAGCTGAGCCTCCCATCTCTACTAAAAATACGAACGAAATTATTTTGGCAACTAAAATATGTAGCAAAAAATTAGCCGAGCGGTGGCGCATACCTGTAGGTCCAGCTACTCGGAGCTGAGGCAGGAGATCGCTTACGCCCAGGAGTTTGAGGTGCTGTGAGCCTGCTGGCCCACGGCACTTCTAGCCGCAATAACGAGACTCTACTCAAAAAAAAAAAAAAAAGGAAAAGCAGCCGGTCTGGGGAGGCCCCTGATGAAGGGGGGAGAGCCATGTCCTTCCTCCCATTTCTAGGTGGAAGCCCCCCCTTGGGGAAATGCTCAGGGGCAGAGAAGGGCTGTTCACCCCTCCCCCCTGCAGCGCCCACAGTGTGGGGCACCCTCACCCTCATCCCGCGCCCTTTCCTCCCCCCAGTGCTTCCTCTGGAGAGGCAGCTCCACGAGGCCGCGCGCCGGAACGACACTGGGAGGCTGCAGGAGCTGATCGGGAGGAGGGTTAACGTCAGGGCCAGAAACCACGTACGTAATGGGCCCCTCCAAGTCCGGGCACCTGGGATAGTGCGCGGTAATGCCGCCGCACAGAGGGGACCCTGCCTTGGGCTGAGACAGACACATTTGCACGTGCTGACTTGGAGGGAGGCTCAGCCTCTGTCCTCTGTGTCTGCCTTGTCTCCAGGGCTCTGAGGCTTAGGGTGGTTGGGGCCTCGCCCAAGGTCAGGGTTCAGTGTCGGGATTCCACGGCAGGCTTGGGCGATTCCAGAGGTCAAACTCTTAACCTCTGTGACCCATCTGAAAGGTATACCCAAGGAACAAAGGTGAGAGTCAGGAAGGCAGAGGTCAAAGGTCATCAGCTGGAGGCTGGCAGACGGGCAGATGAGGAGGACAGACATTAAGCAGAGCTGTCACAGGCAGCTCACTTCCCCTGTGAGAAGATGTCCTAAGGGCTGTGGAGGGGAATGAGAGGGGTTTGAGGAAGTGGCGTTTTCGAGGAGCAGGTGAAGAAGGGCAGTGGTCCAGGCAGAGGGAGGAGCATGGGCAGCAGCCCCGAGGAAGGAAGGAACAGCTCTGGTCTCCAGAGAGGGAGGTGGCTTCCCTGAGAGCTTCACAGAGCTCTCACCTCCCAGAGAGGGAGGTGGCTTCAGAGAGGCTGGCTTTCCCCGGCCCAGCCAGGCCCCTTCGCCTGCTCTGAGAGAACCCGGGCACTTAGGTGCCCCTCAGGGACTTGGAGTGTAGTCCCAGGCCACCTGTTGCTGCCCAGCAGGGGGACAGCAGGACCAAAGGCCTGGAGGTGGCAAGCTGCTTGGGCTTTCCGAGAAGCAGTGGTGGGCAGTGCCAGGCCATGCAGAGCCTTGTAGGCCCTGAGTTAGGAGTTTGTCCCAAGAACCGTGGGAAGCCATGAAAGAGTCTGGAGTGGGGACAGATGGATCCAGTCACTCTGTTTTACTGCACTTGTTTCGGAGCTGCCGCTGTGGTGGGGAGGAGCAGGGGCCAGAGTGGAGCTGGGTCCCAAGCCAGCTGGTCACCAGAGCCAGCAAAGGCCCTTCCAGCCTGCAAACCAGCTGTCCTGGCTGGGAGGAGGTGGGAGGTGGGCCAGGCAGCCAGGGGGCAGCGGCGCCTGACAGGTGTCCTCTCTGTCCTGGCAGGTGGGCAGGGTGGCCCTGCACTGGGCCGCGGGCGCCGGGCATGAGCAGGCCGTGCGGCTGCTCCTGGAGCACGAGGCTGCTGTGGACGAGGAGGATGTGGTACGTGGCCCCTCGCTGTGTGCTGTGTCTGTCTGTCTGTCTCAGGGTCAGGGAAGGGCGTTAGGTCTCTGGGTCTATGAGCTGGTTGCTGAGATTGCTGGTAGCATGCAGCCGCTCGGGTGCAGCGTGCACAGGGAGTCACAGTGTGCCGGGGACGCGGCACTGATTCCATCGTCCTCTTGCACTGTAATAAAGAGCTCTCCACTTCCCAGGGCTCTTCCGTTCTCAGAGAGCCTTTTCAGGCCCTCCCGATACCACGTGCGCGGGGAGAGCTATGGGCCGTGGAGCAGATAGTTGGGTGGATGGTTAAAGGCCTGGTTCGCAAAGTCACCAGGAGGACAGTCTCTCGAGGTGTGCTGCAGGGTTCTGCCCTGGCTGACACTTTAACCAAAGGCTTAGATAAAGAGGAACAGTCTTACTTAAATTGGTAGGCAGCACAGTGCTGGGAGAGCACCGAGGAATCTACGTCTCTATGGGCTAGGGAAAAGGGGCGACTCTGACAATGATATTTGATAGGGAGATACACTTAAGGATCTGAATTTAAATGAAAAAAAAACTAACCATAAATTTTCCTGCAGAGACCTAGTTATCCATGGAAACAGTTTGCTTTGTTCTGGCTTCTCTCTGCTCCCAGCCCCCCCCAACCCCCCAACAAAATTGTCCCCAGTTGGGGTTGGGGTGGGGCAGCAGCACCTACCTCCCCACGCCCCTGCCCCTTCTCCTCCCTGTGGCGGCTTAGGCCCCATGTAGAGGCGGCTCTAGGAGAATGTCTGGGTCCTTAGTCTGAGCTTCCTAGTCAAACACCTGGAGCCTCTTGTTTCAACGCTTTGCCCACAAAGACCCCCTGTTATTTCAGGGGCTGAGTGAGAAAAGAAGCCATGAGGGAGAACAGTAAAAGAGAGTCCTTTTGTAAATTCTCTCTGCTTCTTCTGCAAGCAGCAAGAAATACATTTTGAAGAGTAAGACAGCCTGGTGGGCACGCCTACTTTAGTAACAGGAGGGCAGGGGACACTGGGGCGGGGAAATCCTGTTGTGGGAGGAAGGTCTCTAGTGATATGCCGCAGGGCGCTGGCCTGGACGGTTCCGAGGAACCATGTGTGGGGGAAGAAGCTGGTTAGGAGTGTGACGTATCCCTGGGGTCCCACCATCAGGAGTCTCCGGCCCCCACGGCTCTCCCTTCCCGGTCCTGAGCCTTCACCCTTGCTATTCCCACGCTCCCGTGGCCTTCTCCTTCTGGACGCTGCCGTACCCATTCACTTCCTCCCTGCTCCAGCCAGCCCAGTTGCTGATATGCCACTGGGTGCTGAGCTCTGGCCAGTGCCGGGTCTCCTGGCCCCTTTGGCTCTAGCTGAGGCCAGCTCCACACCCCATTTGAGGCTGCATTCTGAGCCCCGTGCCTTGCCCCAGGTTTCAGGAGGAAGGAAATCTCAAATTCTTACGGTCACTGCTGGCTCTTACTTGCAGCTTCGGCTCAACCTTTGCTGTCATCTTGCAATTTTGCAAATAGTCCTTTGTCTCCACCCCGGTGACACCCCAGACGTGGTACTTCTCCCTGGTTTCCAGGGGCTCCCTTCATACAAGGCGTGTGGCGTGGAATGTCCAAAATGAGAGGTGCAGGGGACTTATATCACACACAAAAACAGCGTAAAAATCATAAAATCTACTCTTCGACTTTCTGATCTCTAAAGTCCCTTGGCCCTTTCCTCGTCTTGTCCCCAGCCACTGCTTCCCCTTCTCTCTCCAGTGCTGTCCTTGCCTGCACCACTGCCTCCCTACCTACAAATTCCTGCCGGTTGCTAAAGCAGAGAGTGAAACTCTCTGGGTGCTCAGAGCCTGCTGCTCAGTCAGTTCCCTCTGCGTTCCACCTTTCACCCAAACACTCGGTTCCCTCCCTAAGATGAATTCTGGTGCCAGCCACTAAGACCCCTTTCCCTGGTACCCCTCATGAAGGAGGAATAGCAAAAAACCACCCCCAGGAGGTGGCTGGCTCTCAATGCAACCTGGGAGACGTGTTTGGAGGCCTGGGGGTGCTCTTCACAGGGAAGAAAAGACTCAAAGGAGGCGGGGCAGGGGCTGCCCACACGGGGCACCTCACCACGGCCGAGGTCAGCGCAGGGGCTCTGGTGACCCCAGAACACTGCGCAAGCGCCCTGCGAACGGGTGCAGGGCTGCCATCAGAAGAGGCGCTAGGCATGTAGTCAGTTGCTCCAGAGGGCCGGTGGCATGGAAATTGCAGGGGTGCAGATTTCAGTAGAGCGTGAGGATTTCTAACGTCTGCCTGTGCAGGGATGCCTTGTAGGGTGGTGAGGTGCTGTAGACTTGAGCCATCTGCTTTGAAGATGTTCTGTGAGAGATTTTAACAGTCAATTCTCAAACGCCAGGCCAGGATGAGGTCTTCACTAGGTATAGCAAATCAGAAAACAAGGACAAGGCCGGGTGCTGTGGCTCACGCCTGGAATCCTAGCACTCTGGGAGCTGAGGTGGGATGATCACTTGAGGCCAGAAGTTCAAGACCCCCATCTTTACAAAAAATAGAAAAATTAGCTGGTCGTGGTGGCACGCACCTGTAGTCCCAGCTACTTGGGAAGCTGAGGCAGGAGGATCACTGGAGCCCAGGAGTTTGAGGTTGCTGTGACCCTTTCTCAAAAAAAGAAAAAAAGGAAAGAAAAGAAAAGAAAGAAGGACAATGTAGTGTGTTTTCACGAAGCTGTATTTGTAAAGAATATATTCTGTGATTGGTTCCTTCCAAATATTTTTTTTTTTTTTTTGAGACAGAGTCTCGCTTTGTTGCCTAGGTTAGAGTGAGTGCCGTGGCGTCAGCCTAGCTCACAGCAACCTCAAACTCCTGGGCTTAAGCAATCCTACTGCCTCAGCCTCCCGAGTTGCTGGGACTACAGGCATGCGCCACCATGCCCGGCTAATTTTTTATATATATATATTAGTTGGCCAGTTAATTTCTTTCTATTTTTTATAGTAGAGACGGGGTCTCGCTCAGGCTGGTTTTGAACTCATGACCTTGAGCAATCCGCCCGCCTCGGCCTCCCAGAGTGCTAGGATTACAAGCGTGAGCCACCGCGCCCGGCCTATTTTTTGTTTTAAAGTGGCCTTTCTTTATGAAATGATGATGAGAGTAAATGGCAGCTGCCTTAAATTAAAATTTCATTTAGCTAAAAAAGAAAAATTTGCAATAGTATATCAACCTTTGTTTAAAAAAAAAAAAAAATTCTTGGTCTTTAAATTCCTAAAGCTTGACGCTCCCCGGACTGAGTGGCATTTATGGTTCCTTACCGTCCTATGGTTTTGCCGTGCAGACACAGGGCCAGGTGGGACGGCCACGCCTCCTCACATTCTCCTCACCCCCTTCCGTGTCCTCTCCCCCAGTTTGGGATGAACGCGCTTCTCCTGTCTGCCTGGTTCGGCCACTTGCGGATCCTCCAGATCCTGGTCAACTCCGGGGCCAAGATCCACTGTGAGAACAAGGTAAGGCCTCAGGGCAGGGCAGGGCCCCCTGCCCACTGTCCCTCTGCTCCCTCTGCCCCAGATGCACGGGTCTGCCTCACCTCTGCCCCTGCCCCTACTTGTCCCCTTCGGTATCCCACCCACCTGTCCTTTTTTCTCTTTTTCTTCTGATCACTTACTACACAGCTATGTTGGGACAGTCCCCAGCCCTCTGGCTGGCCTCCTTATTTACAAGAGAGGAATCAAAGTGACTCCTCCAGAGGGTAGTTGGGAAGATTAAATGACAGGGAGGTGGGGCGTCCTCCGCCTTCCTACTGGGCCCTGCATCCCTTGTGGTCACTGGGGTGGGGTGGAAGGACCACAGCACCATTTACCAACCCTGGGACCTTGGATGAGTTACTTTATTGCCCTGAGCCTCAGTTTTCCCATTTGGAAATGGGGATGCTGGTACCCAACTTGGAGCTGGGGGGTGGGGGCGGGGAGAAAGGCAGTAATGTGTGTAAAGTGCCTGGCACCCTAGGGGACCTGGCCTCTCCTTGCTGCTCACTGGGGTGCCCTGTGGTTTCAGGGAGAAAGGCCCCAGCAAGTGAGAGTGCCTGGAATCCCTCCACCCGTGTCTCACCTTTTAGGGTATCAGTGAGATGCCTTCAGCTAGGAGTTCTCACCGGGGTTCTTGGAGAAAATTCAAAGCACCTATGAACTTGGCTCAGAAAAAAGAGTGCATATTTATTTTCACTAACTTCTCGAAAATTTAGCATTTCTTTCAATAATGATGAATGTAGGTGGCATTAGTACCTGTAACTATCACCGGTAGAAAATGTAGCTATTTTTGTATCACATTAAAGTCTTTGCACTTGTCTTAAAATACTTCTTACATTCATGCTTTGAAATAATGGCAGTTATTAGACCTTTTACTATATCTTTTTATTTAATGGATCTTTCTGTTTTATGGAAGTACATATGTTACTAGATTGAAAACTTGGTTTTTAATATTTTGATAACTCTATGTCAATATAATTGGTTTCCTTTTTATGGTAGGCAGAATAATCCTAATCCCTAGAACCAGAAGGGATTTGGCAGATGTGATTAAGTTAAAGACCTTGAGGTGGGGGACATTATCCCGGATTATTCACAAAGGCCCAGTGTAACCACAGAGGTCCTTTTAGGGGAAAAAGGCAGGCAGGAGGGACAGGGAGGAGGAGTGACGAGGGAAGCGGAGGTTGGAGTAATGTGGGCCACGAGCGTCTAGAAGCTGGAAAAGGCCCAGACGCGGATCTGCTCCCGGAGCTCCCAGGAGAAGTGCAACCCTGCCCACCCACTTAGACCTCCGACCCCCAGTACTGTGAGAGAAGAAATTGCTGCTGTTTTAGCCAAGTTTATGGTAACCTGCTATAGCAGCGGTAGGAAACTAATACACCGTTGTAAGCCTGTGCATTTGATTAAAATTTTTTTCCTATATAATTTATTTTTGTATTTAAGTAACCATTATTTTGAGAAGGAGTCCACAGGCCTCACTAGATGTCAAAATGGGCAGTGTCACGTAAGAAGTCTGCCTCGTGTCATTGTTAGGATCGTGCTGGCCATGGTGGCAATGCCCAACAGCTCCCAGAGAAGGGATGTAAACAAGGTATAAAACCTTGTTTTTTTATTTATATGCATATATATATTTTTTTTTTGAGACAGAGTCTTGCTTTGTTGCCCAGGCTAGAGTGAGTGCTGTGGTGTCAGCCTAGCTCACAGCAACCTCAAGCTTCAGCCTCCTGAGTAGCTGGGACTATAGGCATGCGCCATCATGCCCGGCTAATTTTTTTTTTTTTTTTTGAGACAGAGTCTCGCTTTGTTGCTCAGGCTAGAGTGCCATGGCGTCAGCCTAGCTCACAGCAACCTCAAACTCCTGGGCTCAAGCAATCCTCCTGCCTCAGCCTCCCGAGTAGCTGGGACTACAGGCATGTGCCACCATGCCCGGCTAATTTTTTCTGTATATATTAGTTGGCCAATTAATTTGTTTCTATTTATAGTAGAGGCAGGGTCTCGCCTTCTGCTCAGGCTGGTTTTTGAATCCTGACCTTGAGCAATCCACCCGCCTCAGCCTCCCAGAGTGCTAGGATTACAGGTGTGAGCCACCGCGCCCGGCCCTAATTTTTTCTCTATATGTTAGTTGGCCAGTTAATTTCTTTCTATTTATAGTAGAGACGGGATCTCGCTCTTGCTCAGGCTGGTTTCGAACTCCTGACCTCGAGCAATCCGCCCACCTTGGCCTCCCAGAGTGCTAGGATTATAGGCGTGAGCCACCGCACCCTGCCTAAAACCTTGTTCTATTGATTTTTATGACCCATTGATGGGTTGCAATCTGCTACTTAACACAGTACTTCAAATAACCCGACCTCAGTGCAGTGCATACTCTGGGTCATAAACAGGCTTTGCGAGCCTCCCTCCTGTGATTATTGCCTCTGGGCTCAGGAGAACTGCTTCCTGTCTATCCCACACCGCCTACCCTGGCCACCTCCCTCTGGTCCCTGCAGACCAAGTCTGCTCTCAGTCCTCCCTGGAAGGTTAGGAGGTCACCTCCTAGTGACGTGCACTGGCACTTAGTCACCTGCTTCTTCATTAGCAGCAGTATCAAGGGAGGCAGATCGATGCCCAGAACCTTCTTAACTGTTCTGTGGCGACATTCTGGGGACTGTTAGTGCTATATGACCTCACCTTACACGTGGGAATAATTTTTCAGTTTATAAAATAGTTTTCCTGTAGGTCCTCTCCATGACTAACTGACTAACCTCCATGAAGGTCAGGGATTATTGTTCTAATTTGTGACACATGAAAATGAGGCTCAGAGAGGTGGAGGTAACTGGCCCCAAGACCACAAGCCGACGAGTGCCAGAGCTGGGATTTGAACTCTGGCGTCCCCACTCCCACCAGCCCCTCTGGGGCTGAGTGTGCACCAGGGAGGGTTATCCCAGGGGCCTGAGCATCATTTACAGTGTCGTTTCCGTGGCGCGGCTGTGCTCCGGCCCAGACTCTTGCCATCTGGGAGACTGCAGAGTGTGAGGAGGGCTTCCCTTCGCAGCCTGCAGGGCCCCCTGGGCTTGTTTCCAGGACGGCCTGACCTTACTGCACTGCGCAGCCCAAGGAGGCCACGTGCCAGTGCTGGCGTTCATAATGGAGGACCTGGAGGATGTGGCCCTGGACCAGGCAGACAAGGTGAGAGCGCCTCGGGGCTACTTGTCTTTCCCACTGGGCTGGGGACTCCTGGGGCCACTCTTGCCCACTGGGTTACTGCACTCCCTGAGCGCATCCTTTGCTCTGTGGGCAGAATAGGTATTGGGCTACATACAGACGAGCAGAGTGTGAGCGGAGCGTGGTCCGTGGCCTCAGAGAGGCCCGTAGGTTAGAGAAGAGAGCCACTGCTTTTTGCTTCCTGGAGGAGGTGGCATCTGGTGAATGAGCTAGATTCATGGGTAAGATTGGAAATCAGGGGTGTGAGACCAAATGGAGGCGAGAGCCTTGCAGGTGGGAAGGGGCCCCAGTGTGGGTTCTGATGGACTGGAATCCTGGGCGGGAAGGCCTGGGGGTGCTGGGGGCCCCTCTGGAGATCTTGACCCCCAGCCTCAGGAATCTGTTCCTCATCCATTAGGCAGCAGGGAGGGGCCGTCACCAGGTGGGTCTTGTTGAGAAGTTGGGTCTGGGTTTTCTAGGCAGGGTGTGTGGGGCAGGGGAAGGAGGGAAGAGAACATCTGGGGCAGGAGAGGCCATTGCAACGCCAGAGCAGTTGGGGAAACAGAGGCAGGCGGGCAGGGTGAGCGTGCCCACTGACTACGCAAGGAAGAGTCACGTTTCTTCTCCTCCCGGCCAGCTGGGAAGGACGGCATTTCACAGGGCAGCTGAGCACGGGCAGCTGGACGCTCTGGACTTCCTCGTGGGCTCTGGCTGTGACCACAGCATCAAAGACAAGGTACTGTGACCCTGAGGCTCTGGGCTCCTGACCAGGGTGCAGAAGCCCCTGCCACCTTTCCGGCTCTGGTTCCTCACCTGTGCCTCCTTCTGATTCCTGCCGTGCCGGAGGGGCCGGGGCACCCGAGGACCAGAGTGTGTCTTGTGCTCATCCAACAGGCATTTTTCTAGCACATGCTATGGGCCAGCCCTGTGCTACGGGTTGGTGGCATAAAGATGCCCAGGACAGTTTCTCACTCAAGAAACTTACTCAAGCGCCACAATCCCAGTTGAGAGCTATGATCCGAAATGACAATGATCAAGTCAGGAGCTATGATCCGGAATGGCAGATGGTGGTGGTTGGTAGCGCTGCCTGGTGTGTGTTGGGCAGGACTGGGGTCCACTGGGGTGGTCTGTTGCCAGGAATGGTGGCCACATCCCGCTGGTTATTTGCCTTCCCTATGATTCATGCCCTGCTGTGGTTATGGCAAAAGGAGGTTGGGAGCACCGAGGAGGGATTAGGCCATTCGGGGTGGAGAGCTTGTGAGCAGGATTTTGCCAATCTGAGGAGGGGTGAGGGACCGGGACCAGAAGGGGCTACCCTGCCAATGACTCTTATCAGTGCACTGTTGTGAATCATCAGGCAAACAATGTTGCAGCAAATACTAAACGATGCTTCTGACAAAGGGATGGACTCCACTGTTAATCTTCTGCTGAATGTGCCCGGCCGGGGCAAGGGAGCGCTGTTCACGCTGTAGTGATGGAGAGAGCTCAGGGACAATGCGCCGCAGGGCCTTAGAACTGGAAGGAGCCTTCATCGAGGGCCAGCTCAACCTTCTCGTTTTACAGCTGTGGAAACTGAGGTCCAGGGAGGGGGATGCTCTAGGCAAGGTCACACAGCAAGACAAAGGTAGAGCTGGGTTTGGAACCAGCATCCATGCATAACTCTGTGCTCGCCCTTCCCAGCAGGCTGCTTCCTGGGGCGCTTCCAGGACACCCTTGGGGCCCGCACTGAATCTGTCCACACTCATCCTTTGTGATGGAAAGGCTGAGTCAGGTCCTAAGACTCAGGTCAGGGTGGTTTCTTTTACTCTGGAAACATGGGCTGAGCAGGTCATGTGCCCTGTGCCAGGTCCCTGCCCTGTGCGCACTGGGAGTACAGAGAGGGGAAAGGACAGTCCCCGCCGGGACAGGCTTACCCAGGTGGCAAAGATGACCACACCTCAGGGCCAGGAGAGCAGGAGCTCCAAAGACAGAGAAGGAGAAAATCCAGCCTGGAGGAACTTACCCAGAATCTTGCAATCAGAAATTCTACAAAGAAGCTTTTAAAATTGCATACCCCTGTTAAGTTTTGTGTTTTCAGGTTAGGAGTGTTTTCATTTTGAGTTTCATTTGGGCAGAGGACGTTTTTCAAGGCCTGCTGGGGAAGATAGACCGGTCAGAGCCAATGACAAGACAGGTTATGCCATGCGTGCTGAGATGAGCGGAAGGGAGGCTTCGAGAGCCCACGGAGAGTGATTAATTCCACTTGGAAGAGCGACCGTTGCTGTCAAGGTCTCCCAGAGGTGGAGATGCTGGGCGTGCCCAGGGGTGAAGGGGAGAAGGCACCGGGCCCAGGGCCAAGGCTGCCTTCCTCCCAGCTCTCCTGCCTCTGAGCCCCGCCGTGCCCCAGGAAAGGATGAGTTAGATGTCTGTGCCTGCCGCCTGCAGCTTCAAATGGCAGGATGTGGATATTCACCCCCCTCCCAGCAGGAAGAAGAGAGCCCCGCAGTGGTCTTCACGCCCTGCTAATTGGAGCACGTATTGGCTCCTCACTGTTCACCCTCCTTCGTGTCTCTTTGAACACCAAGACGTCACACTGGGGAGTGTTTCCCACTGCCAGTCCTCGCTAGGCTGCTGCTGTGTCCGCAGAGAGGCTGGGGGAGGAGCAGATCCAACAAAACTGTGGAGGGGGGATTTTTTTTAACTTAGCTTTTATTTATTAATATAATAGTGTGATCATAAAGGAAATTTGAATGTTTCATCTTTAGTACCATAAGATAGCTATAGCTGTTTTATATATGTGCAGATTTATCATTGGGGGTATGTTTTTAACTATTTTAAGTATTGCTTTGGTTTTAGTATATGTTCACATCTTGATTGGATTCTAAAAATCTGTGCACCAGTGCAAATGTCTTGATCCTTTATTTTTAATTTTTTTTAAAGACAAGGTTCCATTCTGTCACTCAGGCTCGATCATAGTTCACTGCAGCTTTGAACTCCTGAGCTTGAGCCATCCTCGTGCCTCAGGCTCCTGAGTATCTGGGACTACGGGCAGGCACCACTATGCCTGGCTATTTTAAAAATTTTTGTAGAGACAGAGTCTCTCTGTGCTGCTCAGGCTGGTCTCAAACTCTTGGCCTCATGTGATCCCCCTGCCTCGGCCTCCCAAAGCACTGGGATTACAGGCCTGAGCCACCGAGCCTGGTCCGATCCTTTCCTTAGGAAGGTATTGGAGGGAAGAGCTTGAGCCAGGATCCCCATGGCTAGTTCAGCTGAGTTATGGCCCAGGGGCTTTCTGGTGTGACAAATAACCAAAGCTGCATCTTCCCTTCTGTGTGCTTCTGTGGGTTGCTCGGGGGTGCTTGCTCCCACCCTCCACCTGTGCTTCCTCTGTAGGGACGGACATACCTTTTCTTTTGCCACTTCCAGATACCCTCCTTTTTCTAGGGCCCCTTCACCCTCCAGGTCTGCAGTAAGGCCCCTTTAAAAGACAACCCCAAGCTGGCTGACTTCAGCAGGTGCCACTTCCAATCCAAAGAACATTGTGCCCTTTGCCCTGCCCTGTGCAGCCTCTTCTCTTGGTTCTGTCACTGTCACCTTTAGACTTTCCAAGCACAAGGCAACTACCAGTCCTCTGGCTCTTCAGTGCCAGGGGACACAGGTCAAGCTCCCCACACAATCTCCTGAAAACCTTGTCACATTATTGACTCTTTGAACAAATATGGACTGAGTGTCTTCCATGTGCCCAGGCCCTATTCTAGGAACTTGGGGAAGCTTCAGAGGACAAATTTGATGGCAAGCCCTGCCCTGGTGGTGCGCATGTTCCAGTGAGAAGAGTGACAATAAGCACAGTGCACGATCAGTGACAGTGTGTCAGCGGGTGACCAGTGCTATGGGAAGGGAAGGAAAAGCAGGGCAGGAAGAGGGGCTCAGGGGGACAGAGGTGTGGTCAGGGAGGGCCACGCCGCTCCATGGGAAGCTGAGGTCTCCAGCAGGGACTTGAAGCAGGCAGGTGCCTGGGAACAGCCTGTGCTTCTGGAGCCTTGAGCAGGGAGCCGGGGTGGGTCTGGGGGACCCCAGGACGGGCTGGCTTTAGACGGGGGCATGGAAAGTAGGTTTTATTTTGTTTTTAATCAATGTGTCTGCCTTGAGGTGTCTGGAAAGAGAGACCAGGGCTTGGCCCTTGAACGTGCCCCTGGGTATCATCACTGCACAGCTCTCAGGGGCGGGGTGGCATTGACCCAGTATGCAGGGCTTCAGCTTGTCACAGACATGCTCTGTGGCCCTGGACATGTCACTTTCCCTCTCTGGGCCTCAGCTTCCCTGTCTGTAAAATGAAAGGCAGCTCCAGCAGGTCTTCGGGGCCTGCGAGGGTCTGATTTTGGGGCTCCGTGGTCTGCCAGCCCCTCAGGAGCCCTTCTCCCCGCAGGAGGGGAACACGGCCCTTCACCTGGCTGCCGGCCGGGGCCACGTGGCCGTGCTGCAGCAGCTGGTGGACTTTGGGCTGGACCTGGAGGAGCGGAACGCGGTGAGTCACCGCCCTGGGGTACAGAGATGCGCAAGTCTCTCACTCCCTGCCTTCGAGGAACCCCAGCCCCTGGTGCCATCCGAAGCCAGGCAGCTGAGGACAAGTTCTAGGACCAACAGCCCACTGGGAAAAGATGAGCACAGCACTGCAGGCTTAGTGGGGACGCTGGGCGTGATGGAGCACCAGGAAGGGGGACACAGAGTGTGTGTTCAAAGAGAGGGGGAGTCGCCACGGCCAGGACAGGCCTGGGGGCAGCGTCCTGGAGTGGGAGGGACTGATGGTGAGGAGAGCGTGAGCAGAGGTGGGGAGCAGGGAGTGCCTGTGCCTGTGTGTGCTCCGCAAAGAGAGGCCGTCCCGTCCCATGTGGGGCTCAGGAGACCACAGGTGAGCACGCTCGTGCTCAGCAGCAGGCAGCGGAGAGTTCAAGGAGCCCCCGAGCCATGCGCACAGGGTGACCTCTCACTGCGGGGCTGGGGTCACCTCGGTCGTCCCCCCACCCCGCCATCTTCATGCCTCTGCCCGTGTGTTCCAGGAAGGCCTGACCGCCCTGCACGCTGCCGCCGAAGGGACCCACCCCGACTGTGTGCAGCTCCTGCTCGGGGCTGGGAGCAGCGTGGACGCGCTCACCCAGGTAGCCCGGCCTCCCGACACTGGTGCCTGCCCTGGGCTGCTGGGCCGTGGCCGAGCCCACAGCAGCAGCCACAGTCACTGACTGTGAGGTGGCAGGCCAGGTTCTGATCTTGGCTTCTCCACTGCTGGCCTGTGACCTTAGGCAAGTCACGTAACCTCTCTGAACCTCGTCTCCCCGCTATAAAATGGGATGATATAGGCTTACTTCCTACCCTGCTGTGGGCATCAAACGCCTAGCACCGTGCCCGGGGGCACCACAGGGGCTCAGCACTTGGTGTCTTGTTAATTCACAAAGCCCCTTTATAGCCATGACCTTGGAAAAGTGTCGCCCATCTGACAGATGAGAAAACTGAAGCTTAGTGAGGACTTTGTCAGGGTCACGAGCCAGTCAGAAGCAAAGCTGTGTTTCAAAATCCTGCTCCCCTGAGTCCAGAGCTCCCGCCCACTGGCAGTCCTGTCCCCTGACTTGGAGGCCCGGCTCTGTGCAGCCACACTGGGCCCCAGGGTCGGGGCCTGGGCGCGTGAGGGCCCTGGTGCACTTCCCGCCATGGTACTCCTCAATTCTGCCGGTGGTAATTCTCCTCTGTGACCTGGAATATGTTGTTGTTGGTGGTGGGGGTGCCCTTTCTTTAGGTAAATGGTCGACGTTTTTGTTTTGCTTTTTATTTTTAAATCAGTGACAAATAACCTTTCCTCGGCTGGTTGAATGGCCTCAGGGTCTGCAACTCTCTCTTTGTTCTAAATGTTAATAATATAGCAAAAATAATAATAAATAAAATATAAATAAATAATATTTATTTAATAATAAATAAAATATAAATAATAAAAATATGCAGGTAGTTAAAAATAATAAAGGAATTAAAATGGTACGCTAAAGCATATTTGTTTAGCTTCAGCTGAGAATGTCTGGAAGGGTGGAGCACTCATGCATTCTGCCAGGAGCTACTGCTCTTCCTCTTCCCTCTAACAGCCTGAGGTGATCTGTGAAAATGGTTCGCTGTTCTCTTGATCCAGAAAAACCCACGCAGTCTTGCAGACCAGGAGGTCCGAATCTTTGTGTTTGCTTTAAGAACACCTGTGGAACTGCCCAGGCCATCAAGGCTGTGCATATCCAAAAGGCCACCAAGTGTCTGAAAGATGTCACTTTGCTGAAGTGATGTGTGCCATTCTGTCCTTGCAGTGGTGAGGTGGGTGGGTGCATCCAGGCCGAACAGTGGGGCTGGACACAGGGGTGGTGGCCCAAAAGAGTACTGAATTTTTTTATTGATACATGATAAGTATACCTATTTATGGAATACATGTAATATTTGATACATACATATAATGTGTAATGATCAAATCAGAGTAATGAGGACACCCTTTACCTCAAACATTTATCATGTCTTTGTGTTGGGAACATTTCAAATCTCTTCTAGCTACTTTGAAATACACGATAAATTCTTGTTAATTGTAGTCACCCTAACTGTGCTATTGAGCACTGGAACTTATTCTTTCTACCTAACTGTGCCCTTTGTACCCATTAACCAACCTCTCTTCATCCCCCCCACTGCACCAAGAGTGCTGAATTTTTGCTACATGTGCTTAAAAATGCAGAGGGTAATGCTGAACTTAAGGGTTTTGACATAGATTCCCTGGTCATTGAGCACATAGTGATGAATAAACACCCAAGATGCGCCGTTTCCCTTGCACAGCTCGTGGGGGATTGACCCAGACACGAGCTCCACGGCCCGTTGAGATGGTCCTTACTGAAAAGGAACAGATTGTACCCAAACCAGAAAGGGAGGTTGCACAGAAGAAAAAGATATCCTAGAGGAAACAGAAGAAACAAAAACTTATGGCCCCAGAATAAACTCAGTTCTATGAATAAAATAAATGCAAATAAAGATAAAAATAATTATTTAACGTAAAAGAAGGCAATGAGAAACAGAAGAATGAAAAAAGACAGGAGACATACAGAAAATAAACAGCAAAATGGCAAATGTAAATTCAATAATAGTAATATCAATGTTGAACTCCCCTAAATGTGAATAATCACCAGTGCTTTATAATCACCAAAAACTTAATGTGCAGAACTCCCCTGAGGGGTGTGGGAGCCACTACCCCTGGAGGGTGGGGGGAGGGGAGGCCAGAGACAGGACCCAGCCAATGTCCTCTCATCAGCATGGTGTTGTGCTTTGGTCACCAAGGCCCTTTTTCTTTGCCCAGCACGGTACTAGGTCCTGGAAGTGGGGACAAAAGAAGTGAGATGACATTGCCACTTCCCCCTTAGTAGCAGCAGTAGGAATTCAGCGAGTGGGGAGGTGGAGTCCGGCTGGGTGGCCAATGGGGGCATTGGCTTGAGGTTTCCAGCCGAGGCCACATTCTGTCTCTGCACTCCCACTGCTCCCAGAGAGTCATGCAGCAGGTCTCTGAGGAGGGGCAAGCCCACCGTGACTGCATTTTCCACTGGAGGTAGACTGAGTCCCACTCGCCCCATGCCCTGGCTCGGTGGGGACCTTGGCAGAGTGGCCAGCTGTCCTGGTCTGCCCCATACTGCCCTGATTTTGAAGCTGGAAGTCCCCAGGTCTGAGAGATTCCTCAGTGCTGGGCAGCCTGGGGCAGTTGGTCACCCTAGCGGGGCCTGTCTGGTGTGCATCCTGTGCAAGGTGGCGGCTAGGCCAGGGCCGGGCTCTGACTGAAGCGGAGCACTGCGCAGGCCCACCCCAGATCGGCTCCATCCCAGCCTGCCAGGCTCCTGCTTGGCCACGCCGGGACCAGCTCGTGCCGGGCAGTGCGTGCCAGCTGGGGTTTGCCCGGTACTGGCAAATCTTATGCGTCCTCCTCTTCGGAAACCATCTTCTCAGAGTCTGTAACCTGAGTGTCTTTACCAGCCAAGGAATTTGGCAGGCTCGGGTCCACGTTCTGCAGTTTGCAGTGGAGGTGAGGAAGAGGCCGAGGCCACAGTGAGTTCCTTTCACTGGTCACCAGGCCCGGGCAGGCCGTTGATTTCTCCAGCCTCAGAGTTTAATGGGGATAATGGTCCCAGGGGGGTTGTGAGTCTCGAGTGGGAAAATGATCCCAAAGAGCTTTGTAAACGACACTAGGAGGGTCCCTGTGACTTTGCACTGCTGCCTGTTTCTCTCTAGAAAAAGCTGAGCTGCCTCCACTACGCGGCCCTCGGTGGCTCCGAGGACGTGTCCCGGGCCCTCATCCTCGCAGGAGGCTGCACCAACGTGGCAGATCACGTAAGTGCGAGGGCCTGGATTGACGGGGTCCCCCCTGCGACGTATAGAGCATAGCGGGGGCCAGGGGGGCATAGGCACTTCCAGCCCTTGAGGTTGGCTGGGGGCCAGGACGAGGGGAGCAGACAGCACTTAGGAGAGAGAGTCAAATAGTGTCCTGGCTGAAGCAGGCTTAGAGACCAAGCCTGCAGTTCCACCGAACTGAGTTATCTGCTCCCCTTCTCAGCTCATATATTCATTGGGTCTTCGTAATAATCTTTTATGTTACCAATCTAGCCACTTAGTTGTTCATTTTTTCCCCTGTTGTGATACATTTGGTACACACACCAGGAGCAGTATGATCTTATGGTTAAGACACAGACTTTGGTATTAGATGACCTGGTTTTGAGCACTGGCAGTACAAACTGAATAACCTTGGGCAAGCTGCTTTGACCTCTCTTGGCCTCTGTTTCCTTACCTCTAGGTACTTTTTTTTTTTTTTTTTTTTAAGAGATATAACCTTGCTCAGTTGCCCTGTGTAGAGTGGCAGTGGGGTCATAGCTCACAGCAACTTTAAACTCGTGGGCTCTGGCAATCCTCCTGCCTCAGCCTCCCGAGTAGCTGCGACTATAGGCACTCGCCACCACACTGCCTAATTTTTTCTGTTTTTAGTAAAGACAGGTTCTCACTCTTGCTCAGGCTGGTCTCAAACTCCTGACCTCAAGTGATCCTCCCGCCTTGGCCTCCCAGAGTGCCAGGATTACAGGTGTGACTCACCACCATGCCTGGTCCATACATACTATCATTATCCCCATTATATAGATGAGGAAACATCTATTGTTTAAATCTGAAAGGAGTCATTTCTTATTACTAAAATAAGTACTATATTTATTTATTTATTTTTTGAGACAGAGTCTCACTTTGTAGCCTGGGCTAGAGTGCCATGGCATCAGCCTAGCTCACAACAACCTCAAACTCCTGGGCTCAAGGGATCCTCCTGCCTCAGCCTCTCGGGTAGCTGGGACTACAGGCATGCACCACCGTGGCCAGCTAATTTTTTCTATATATATTTTTGGTTGGCCAATTAATTTCCTTCTATTTTTAGTAGAAACGAGGTCTTGCTCTTGCTCAGGCTGGTCTCGAACTTCTTGAGCTCAAGCAATCCTCCCACCTCGGCCTCCCAGAGTGCTAGGATTACAGGCATGAGCCACCATGCCCGGCCTAAAATAAGTACTATATTTAAAATCACAGTAAAAATAATATAAGACAATCCATTGGAATTTAGAGAAAAAAAAAAAGGCTTCCTAAATCCCAAAGCCCTAGTAAAGCAATAAGTTTCTTTATTCCCTCCCAGGTTTTCCCACACATATATAGTATCACCTCCAGCTAGAAAGAATCCAGACCAAGGCAGAATTCTGGAAAGGGGAATGCTTACTTGTTTTTGCCCATCAAGATGGCAAAATCCTGCCTCTAGTGCTGTGGAGCTGACCCAGCCCAGGGCTCAGATGTTGCCACTTGGTTTTCCTGTTACCCATGTTTAATGCCAGTTATGTTCCAGTGAGCCCATCACACTTTATTTAGCAGTTCCCCAACTGTTGCATATTTCAGTTGGTGTTCTGACTTTGCCACTATATGTAATGATTTTGTGAACATCTTTATGGCATCTAATTTTTCATTTCTTTTGCATTATATTTGGAGTCCACAAACAGGATTGTTGGGGTAGGTGGTAAAAACATTTTTATGATTCTCGAGATAAGTTGTCAAATTGCTTTTCAGAAAGGTCAGACCACATAAGCCCCAATAATTTATGAGTGATCTTTCACCAACAGCAGGAATTAATGTTTTTGTAAATTTTTGTGGTTAAATGATTGTTATTTTATTTTATTTTGAATGTCTTTAGTTAGTAGCAACCCTTTCCCATTAATTCACTTTTCTAGTTTAAGTTCTTCTGTTGTGAATTATTTGTTCAGATTCTATGTTTATATTGGTGGATTTTGTTTTTTTAAAACCAATTTCTTTACCCTTTGGCCATCATGTGTATTGTTTATTTTATACTTTTTCGACATACTAAAGATATAAATTTTTGTGTAATCAAAAGTATTCTAAAGTTTTGAATTTTATAATAGAGTCTTCCAGTTATAATTTTTGATGTTTAACTCTTTAATCCTTCTAGAATATACTTTTATGTATAGTGTGATATCTTAATAGATTCCCTTAATTTTTTACATTTCTATTTCAAGAACATTTATTAAATAATTATAACATTTCTTAATGCTTTTCCATTCCTTCCTTTATCCCAAATTTACATTTTGATGGGCCTTATTTCTGGAAGAGTGATTCTGTCTCAATAAGTTGTATGTCTAAACTTGAGTTGATACTATAATTTAATAGTTGTTGCCTTATAATTTGTTTTAAAGCTATATAAAGCAAGTCTCCTTTAATTATTCTTCTCTATTAGTATAATCTTTTTTTTTTTTTTTTTTAGCATAGCACTGAGATTTGATAGTATAATCTTTTATTCTTTTTCATTCTCATGTTTATTCTGCCAGTTGAAATTTAAAGTAACGATATGGACTGAATGTTTATATTCCCCCCAAAATTCATGTGTTGAAACCCTAGTCCCCTAATGTGATGGTATTAGGAGGTGGGACCTTTGGGAGGTAATTAGGATGAAATGAGACTGTGAGGGTGGAGCCCTCATGAATGGAATTAATGTTCTTGTAAGAGCCCTGAGAGAGCTTGCCTCCTCTCTTTGCCCTCTGAGGACACTATGAGAAGACAACTGTCTGTGAACCAGGAAGCAGGTCCTCACCAGGCGCTGTATTTACCAGTGCCTTGATCTTGGACTTCCCAGCCTCCAGAACCGTGAGAAATAAATGCTTGTTGTTTATGCCACCCAGCTTATGGTATTTTGTTATAGCACTCACAACTAAAACAAGTAATTTTGTCAATTAAAAAAAAAAAATTGCGGGCTGGGCGCGGTGGCTCATGCCTGTAATCCCATCACTCTGGGAGGCCGAGGCAGGTGAATCATTTGAGCTCAGGAGTTCCAGACCAGCCTGAGCAAGAGTGAGACCCCATCTCTATTAAAAATGGAAATAAAATTAGCTGGAAAACTAAAAAATATATAGAAAATTAGCCCATAGTCCCAGCTACTTGGAAAGCTGAGGCAGGAGGATTGCTTAAGCCCAGGAGTTCTAGGTTGCTGTGAGCTCTGATGATGCCACGGCACTTTAGCCTGGGCAACAGAGTGAGACTCTGTCTCAAAAACAAACAAATAAACAAACAAACAAACAAACAAACAAAAATTGACCAACCATGGTGGCATAAGCCTGTAGTCCCAGCTACTTGGGAGGCTGAGGCAGGAGAATCGTTTGAACCCAGGAGTTCGAGGTTGCAGTGAGCTATGATCAGGCCACTGCCCACTAGGCTGGGCAATGTAGGGAGACCCTGTTTCTAAAAAAAAAAAAAAAATCAATTTAATATTTAGATTAATTATCGTAATCTATGGAATAATTTTGAGATAATTTAAATTATTTCAATATTTAATCTTACCAACCTGGAACATGATATTATCCCTCTATATAATCAAATATTAATTTAAATCTACCAATAAAGTTGCATTTTAAAAATGTATTAAAGGAATAAAGGAAATTTAGAGAGTGGTACAGTCACCCATATTTCTTTCTTCTTATGCTGCCACAAGTATTCACTTTTATTTACTGTATACCAATCTCTTAAAAAATTATCTGCTTTGATGTAGTTAGAGTTATACAAATGATTTTGTGTCCAGATAATCACGAGCAGTTCCACATTGCTGCAGAGCCATTGATGATGACACTTTGTCTGTTGAGTGGAGGCACCTATTGAATGATACCTGTTGAACGGAGGTGATCTGTTACGCTCTTGACCTATGTTAGGGCATCAAGTTGACTTGCCAAGGCAAGTAGCACAGATCTGTGGCCGTCACTTTTCTTTTGGAAAGATTCCCAGAAGAGGGAGTAAAAGGTTGGATAATGTGAACATCTTCCTAGCTCTTGATACAGAAGCCAAATTACTTTCTACGAGTCCTGTGTCAGTATGCAGAGCCGCTAGCAGTGTACGGGCTGGCTGTCTCTTCGTCCTGTCGCCAGCATTGTGTATTGGGGTTTACATTTTCCCCCATGAAAAACAACCAGACTGAACATCTCTCATTATTGTCTTAATTTCTATGCCTTTGGTTATCGTCATAATTGAACATTTTTCCATGTATAGTGAATTATTTCTTGAAGGTGTTTGCCCATGTAGATATGGGGTTCTTGATTTTTCAAGTTGGTTCACACATACTATTTATGTAATATGTACATAAGTCTTCTGTCTCCAGCGTTGGCAAGGTTTCTTCCTAGTGTGTTTTCACTTTGGCTGGTTTTGCTGCCTATTTATTTATTTATGTTATTTTTATTTGTTATATTTGCATTGTTTTGTTTTTGTTTTTGTTTTTGTTTTTTTTGAGACAGAGTCTCACTCTGTTGCCCAGACTAGAGTGCTGTGGCGTCAGCCTAGCTCACAGCAACCTCTAACTCCTGGGCTCAGGTGATCCTCCTGCCTCAGCCTCCCTAGTCGCTGGGACTACAGGCATGTGCCACCATGCCTGGCTAGTTTATTTTTAGTTGGCCTATTAATTTCTTTCTATGTTTTAGTAGAGACAGGGTGTTAGTCTTGCTCAGGCTGGTTTCGAACTCCGGACCTTGAGCCATCCACCAGCCTGGGCCTCCCAGAGTGCTAGGATTACAGGCGTGAACCACCACTCCCGGCCTTGCATTGTTTTTAATACCAAATGTAAACTGTGGGTAGTGACAGTGTCAAAAGACACATTCATAAAAAGTGAAGGCCCTCACTTCTCTCTCCTGTTGTGGTTTTTACAAACAGAAGGCCGTTTTCCCCCTCAAATAAATCAAACCTGGTGATCTTTTTATTTATTTCTCATGTTGTATGCTTGGAAAATGAATCTCCTTCCTTATAATTTGAAAATAATTTGTTTTTTTCTAATTTTCCCATAAGTCAACTTTTAAGAGTCTGCTGTTTTATCCATGGAATCAAATAGGGATCAATGTGTATGTTTTCCCTTCAAAATTACTCAGCACTTCTTATTGAATACACATCTTTTCTTTGTGACACACCTTGTTAAATAGTTAAATGTCTTGGGTTCTGCTTAAGGGACTATTCTGTAATGATGAACTATTTCATATGGGGGATCCTGCTCTTTCCTGCCCTGTTGAGACTGATGAGTGAGGGGTAGACAGTCCAGTAAGACGTGGTTCCGGTTAGCTGTGTGTCCTTGGGCAAGTTGCTTGAGTTTTCTGATCCTCAGTGTTTCTGTTTGTAAGATGATGATACTAATGAGAATACCAACCCATATCCTTCCTAGGCTGATGTGTGGATTACATGAGATATCGGGGAATCTTAGGTGTTGTTGCTAGAAGGGGTCTTAGCAAACATCACTTGCTGGATGAAGAGTAGCAGAGAAGGGAAATGACTTGCTCAGGGCCACACAGTGAGTTCCTGACATAGCAGGGTCTCCCACTTGGGTCTCCCCAAGGCCCCCACCCACCTTGGCGATCAGTTTTGGGCTCTAGAAGTTCAGGACTCTAACTGTTCCCAACCCACTCATGTTGTTCAAGAAGCTAGAAAAGCCAAAGCCAGAAGCACTATACCCCTCCCTACTCCCAGCCCCCAGCACCAACTGCAGGGAGCAGTTCTGGGGGGAACCTAGCAACTGATCCTGTGTTCCCCCCACAGCAGGGCGCCTCTCCTCTGCACCTCGCTGTGAGGCACAACTTCCCCGCCTTGGTCAAGCTCTTCATCAACGCCCACAGTGACCTGGATGCCACCGACAATGTAAGTGGCTGCAGAAACCATCTGGGCCCCAGGGAACCTCTGGGCACCCTCCCGGGCTGGAGGGGGGCTTGGCTGTGGTCTCCTCGAATGGCCCAGAGTCACGGAGAAGCTTTTTTAGCTTTAAAAAAATGTGTTCGAATATTTGTTGAAGGTAACATCACTTTATTAACTTTATCCAAATACATGTTCACTTTATTTTGAACATGTTGGTTGTTCCCAAGGTTTTGCCATGACGTATATAACACTGAAGTGAGCATTTCCCTACATTCAGCCTTTTCTTTTCATTGCTTTATTCCCTTAGGGAAAATTCCCAGGGCAGGCGGGACTGGGGTGGTGTTGTGTAGTAAAAGTGCTCTGAGTCCAGACACCGTGATCAGTAAGGAGCGCTTTTAAATCCCATTTCCACAATCTGCCCCCAACCACGTAATACCCAGTGCCAGCAAGGGCATGGCACGTAGAACCACTGCGAGTGGAAGGCAATTTGGCAGAATATATCATATGTCTTTATTTTTTTATTTTTTTTGAGACAGAGTCTCACTTTGTTGCTCAGGCTAGAGTGAGTGCCATGGCGTCAGCCTAGCTCACAGCAACCTCAAACTCCTGGGCTCAAGCAATCCTTCTGCCTCAGCCTCCCCAGTAGCTGGAACTACAGGCATGCACCACCATGTCCGGCTAATTTTTTTTTTTTTTGTATATATATTTTTAGTTGGTCAATTAATTTCTTTCTATATTTAGTAGAGACAGGGTCTCGCTCAGGCTGGTTTTGAACTCTTGACCTTGAGCGATCCTCCTGCGTTGGCCTCCCAGAGTGCTAGGATTACAGGCGTGAGCCACTGCGCCCGCCCTATCGCATATCTTTAAAATGACCTGCAGTTGCACATCTGGGAACTGAGCCTCAAGAAATATATTAGGACGGAGCAGTGGCTCACGCCAGTAATCCCAGCACTTTGAGAGGCTGAGGAGGGAGGATTGCTTGAGGTCAGGAGTTTGAGACCAGCCTGGGTAACACAGTGAGACCTACAAAAATAAAAAATAAATTAGCTGGGCGTGGTGTTGCATGCCTCTCGTCCCAGCTACTTGGGAGGCTGAGGAGGGAGGATGACTTGAGCCCAGGAGCTCAAGCTGCAGTGAGCTGTCATCATGCCACTGCACTCCAGCCTGGGCGACAGAGTGAGACTGTCTCTAAAAAAAAGGAACATAGTATTAATAAAAGCTCATGCACAAAGATATTCATTACAGCATTGTTTATCAGTCCTTAATTTGATAATGACCCAAATACTTGACAATAGGGAAGTGCTTTGGTAAATTATGGCCCAGACATAAATGGGCTATTATGGACTTATTAAAAATGGTGTTTATCAGAGTTTATTCTATGTGAAAACTATTATATTAGGTAGAAAAATAAGATGAAAAATATACATACAGGATGATCTCAAATATGTAAAGCCAACAAACTAAACACGTTCTTCATCAGAGAAAAGACTAGAAGAAACATCCTAGGATCGTAATGGGGGTTGATTTAGGGTGGTTTGCTATCGAAGTTATTTTTTTTCTTCTTTCCACTTTTTGTTTTTCTTCCTTTCCTTTCCTTTCCTTTCCTTTCCTTTCCTTTCCTTTCCTTTCCTTTCCTTTCCTTTCCTTTCCTTTCCTTTCTTTCTCTCTCTCTTTCTTCTTTTCTTTTTTTCTTTCTTTCTTTCTTTCTTTCTTTCTTTCTTCTTTCTTTCTTTCTTTCTTTCTTTCCTTCTTTCCCCTCCTCCTCCCTCCCTCCCTTCCTCCCTCCCTTCCTTCCTTCCTTCCTTCCCTTCCTTCCTTCCTTCCTTCCTCTTCCTTCTTCCTTCCTTCCTTCTTTCCTTCCTTTCTTTTTCTTTCCTTTCTTTCCGGACGAGTCTGGCTCCTGTTGCTCCAGCGAGCATTGCCCTGGCACCAGCCTAGCTCACAGCAACCTCAAGCTCCTGGGCTTAAGCAATCCTCCTGCCTCAGGCTCCCGAGTAGCTGGGACTACAGGCATGTGCCACCATGCCCGGCTAAGTTTTATACATACATATATATATATATGTATTATTTTTAGTTGTCCAACTAATTTCTTTCTATTTTTAGTAGAGATGGGGTCTTGCTTTTGCTCAGGTGAGTCTTGAACTCCTGACCTTGAGCCATCCTCCCACCTCGGCCTCTCAGAGTGCTAGGATTACAGGCGTGAGCCACTGCGCTGGGCCCACCTTTTGTTTTTATCAAGTTTTCTCTGTCGAGTACTGTGCTTACGACTGAACCCTGGCTTTGAGCTGTGAGCCACCCCTACATGCGTTTCTGCTCACCTGTCCCTTGGCTTCTTCCCCAGAGGCAGCAGACGCCCCTGCACCTGGCCGCTGAGCACGCCTGGCAGGACATAGCAGAGATGCTCCTTGTCGCTGGGGTTGACTTAACCCTGACAGATAAGGTACCTCTGCTCGTAACCAACCTCCTTTTCAAGCCACCATGGCTCCCTCGTTGCCAGAGACCCTGCCATGAATGCCTCCTCTCAGCTCCTTCTCAGGGTGCTCAAGGACTCTCATCGTTTATGTATCAGCTCAAATGCAGCCTCCTCCAGGAAGCCTTCCTGCCCTTCCACCACCTTCCCCTCTCTCTACTCAGGTCCCTCAGCTGTGGCCTGCCCCTCTCCTGGCCTATACCTGTGATTGGGTTACTTTAGGTTTCATGGCCCCTATCTGACTATGAGCTCCTTGAGTCACCTGCAGGGTTGGGGAGAGTATAAGAAGAGGACCACATCATCACCCAACAACCCCCAGCATGTGGGGCAGGGTTTGGGAAGCTTCTCAGCGCGCTGGCCTCTGGGGCAGCTACTTCCTCAGGTGCTAGAGGCCTCAGAGGAGCTGAAGACTTGGTGTGAGGCCGGGGGGCTGTAGGCTCAGGAGGGGAGAGGCACTTACACGTGGGGCATGTGGGACTCAGCAAGCCTGGGATAGTGTGGGGTGCAGTTGGGGGCCAGGATGGGGCCCTGAGGCTGGGCCTGGGAGGGGCCTCCTGGTTTGAGCTGGGCCCCAGGGCAGCTGGCCAGCTGTGAAGAGGAGCTTCCCATCTCACTGCAGGTCCCTGCGGGTGACCATCTGGGGGGCCTGGAACAGAGGGTCTGGCGGCCTGTGGGGAGGCAGGCAATGGGGACATGGTGAGCCCACGCCCCCTTCTCTGGGCTCTAGTTTCTTCTGAAAATTGGGGCAGTCACCTCTGTCTCACAGGTGATGTTGAAGAGTTAATGAGGGCTGACTTCCATAAGCTCTTAAAGCTTTCCGAATTCTCAAGGAACACAGAGGTGTGGTGGTTAGAATTACATATTATTTCCTTATTCTACCTGGGACTTTTCCCCATCATGCCCACAAAACCAGAAGACCTTTCTGTTCTCCTGTGTAGATTGCTGGAAACCACTCCCTTTGGGCAGGAGGGTTTGTACTCTGTGCTGGGGGCCACCCTGTACTCCTTTTGTAGAAACTCTGGCTTCATTTCTTGCCTCTTAATTGCAGCAAGGGAAGACCGCGCTGGCAGTGGCCGCCCGCAGCAACCATGTCAGCCTGGTGGACATGATCATTAAAGCTGATCGTTTCTACAGATGGGAGAAGGTATGGAGGCCCCGTGCTTGGTCTCTCCATGTTAGAAAGGGTGACCACCAGGATGGCCAAGTAGTAGAGAGGGGACTGGCAAGGAAGAGACAGTCTCCAGCGTGTGCCAAAGGTGCTCCCTCTTCAAGCAGGGAAAGGGCAGTTTGGGTTTTTATGCCTCACAGGGTCCATACTACACAATACAGTCATACATATTCAGCAGGTTCGGGGTAAAGTTATACATATTTATGAGGGGAGCCAAGCACATGTGTAATGTGTAAACATATATGTAACACACATCCCATGTGTGATCACCTTGGGGCAGGGTTTGAGCATTAAAGTGAGGCGGAATTTGGCTCTGTCGTCGAAAGGTAAACTACAGGACACAAGGACAGTTTGTACATAGCACCTATAAGCTGGCTAGAACAGGCTTAAGGTCTGCAGCTGCTTATCAGAAAAGAATGGTTGTAAGGTGGTTCTCTACGCAATCTAAGTTGTAGTGGTCTGAGTTGCCTGATAGCTCCTATTACTAAGGATTTGGCAAGTGTGGTTTTTCTTGTAGCTGTAGGAATTTAGAAATTTGCCATGCCAGCCAGGCCCTAAACCCTAGACCCATAGGTAACTTTGTTTCCTTAACCTTAGAGTCTGTCTTAGTTGATATAAGGATATCTATTTTGGTCTCTCAGACCACATATTAGATCCTGCCCAACTGTAGGCTAATGTAAGTGTGTAGGATAGCATGTTTAAGGTAGGCTAGGCTAAGCTATGGTGTTCTGCAGGTTAGATGTATTAAATGCATTTTCCATTTATAATATTTTTAACTTACAATGTGTTTATCAGGATTTAACCCCATCATAAGTCAAAGAGCATCTGTATTAAATTTGTTACAAATTTAAAAACCTAGTTTTTTAAAACTTTTAAATTTATTTTTAATTATTTTATTTATACAACTAGCAAATTGTAACAATCACTTTCAAGAAGGCCTTCTTTTTTTTTATTTTTATTTTTTTTAATTTTTTTTTTTTTTGAGACAGAGTCTCACTTTGTTGTCCAGGCTAGAGTGAGTGCCGTGGCGTCAGCCTAGCTCACAGCAACCTCAAACTCCTGGGCTCGAGTGATCCTTCTGCCTCAGCCTCCCGAGTAGCTGGGACTACAGGCATGCGCCGCTATGCCCGGCTAATTTTTTTTTTTATATATATATATCAGTTGGCCAATTAATTTCTTTCTGTTTATAGTAGAGACGGGGTCTCGCTCTTGCTCAGGCTGGTTTTGAACTCCTGACCTTGAGCAATCCGCCCGCCTCAGCCTCCCAAGAGCTAGGATTACAGGCGTGAGCCACAGCGCCCGGCAAGAAGGCCTTCTGATTAATGTTTGGTCCCATGTTTAAACTTAGTTAAACCACCTAACACATTTTAAACTGAATGAATAAATTTAATACAATAGATTTTATTTTCTTTTTAAGCACTTCAAATACTTTGTAAATTCTTAAATTATCCTAATAAATCCATTAAATTAAACCTATATGTAATCTCAAATATCTTAAACACCACAATTTAGTTTACAGACTTAGTAAACTTCTCTTAAATTTCTTAAATAAAAATAACTGTTTCAAAATTAATTGATCAATAAATTTCAATAGGACTGTTCCTCTTTGTATCAGTCAGTTTGCTCTTCTCATTTCTGTAAGGGTATACTTTGCTTTCAATAAACCTCTCTGTAAAAAAAATAAAAAATAAATAAATTTCAATAGGAATCATGAGATATTCTCTTTTGCTGATATGCTAGATTCTTAAATGTTACAACCCCTTTACATAGGACTGATTACTCCTAAATATAATACCAAAATGTTAATACTGGGGGTTTGACTCACTGACTCATCTCTGTGCTTAATACTAAACCACTTCAGGCTTTATAGATCGTCACCACTAAGACAGTAGCTGCATATGTCAGAATCACAAATCCCCGCTCTGTGCCCCAGACCAATTCAGTCAGAATCTCTGAGCTGGGGGCCAGGCATTGGTAGTTCTTAAAGCTCCCAGATGACCTCAATGTATAAACAGGGCTGAGAACATTGCTCTAAGGGGAACAGGTTTTAACACCCCCGATGAGAGCCAAGCCTTACCTCGCAGGTGGAGAGACTGTTGATCAGTAAGTAACATTTGGAGCTGCAGATGCCAGGGTGGTTTTGTTCACCTTGAACTTCGTAAGAATCAGAACTCCACATCCACTCCCCTTTTTGGGGGGGGGGACAGAGTCTTACTTTGTTGCCCAGGCTAGAGTGAGTGCCATGGCATCAGCCTAGCTCACAGCTCAAGCAATCCTGCTGCCTCAGCTTCCCGAGTAGCTGGGACTACAGGTATGTGCCACCATGCGCGGCTAATTTTTTCTATATATATTTTTAGTTGGTCAATTAATTTCTTTCTATTTTTAGTAGAGACGGGGCGGTCTCGCTCAGGCTGGTTTCGAACTCCTGACTTCCAGCAATCCACCTGCCTCGGCCTCCCAGAGTGCTAGGATTACAGGCGTGAGCCACTGCGCCTGGCCACACATCCACTCCCTTTAGAGGGGCTTAAGCTTTTGTGGACTTAATTTATGCTATTACATAATTCTTTTGTAACCTCTAATTTTAGTACCTCCTTCGCATAGAAAGGATTCTGTAACCCCATCCTTTACTACTCGTTGGAATTCAGCAAGCTTGGTTCTTGGCCTGTCTGGTTTTGGCCAAGGGTTCGGAGTTACTCTGCTGACACCCGTGCTTTAAGAACACAGAGAAAAGACAGGCAGAAAAGACCTGAGGAATTTGGCAAGGCCACCTGGCAGACACGGCACATGTGTGGTCTTTTGATTATGCCAGTGGGATTGAGGGGCTGGGAGGCGAGACAAGGCATTCCAGGTGGAAGCAGAGTGGGCGCAAGGTGGGTTCCAGAGACCAAGGCAAGGCCTGGAGTCAGAAACCAGAACAGTGGACATTAGGGCCCAGGCCCGTGCCCGCTCCAGTTCCCAGGCTCCCCAGGGGTGGGAGTAGGGTACTAGGGGCCTCGCCCGTCCAGGACCATGAGGGAGAGCGCCTGCACTTCTGGGATCTGCCCCACAGGACCACCTCTCATGTAGGGACTCCAGTGACCCCTCTGGGAAGAGCTTGACCTTTAAGCAGGACCATCGGCCGGAAACACAGCAGCTCCGTTCCGTGCTGTGGCAGCTGGCCTCCAGGCGTCTGCGGCGCGGCGAGTGGAAGAAGCTCGCATGTACCTGGGGGTTCACTGAGGCCCACATCTGCGCCATCGAGCAACAGTGGACAGGTAGCACCTCGCCTCTCCCCACCCCAGGGCAACAGAGGGCAGAGGGGTGGGGACACTTGGGGTGTGTTCAATTTTCTATGCTTCTGGGAGAGACCCGTGTCATCCACACGCAGCCACACGCACTGCGCGCTCTGTCCCTCCCCCAGGCTGGAGGCACTGCCCCGCCCACCCCCTTGCCCTGTGAATTTTATGCCCTTTCCGTCATTTACACACCAAACTAAAGCCATTCCTGGTAAAAAGAAGAGGGCCCACTGTCGTCACTGCTATTTAACATCTATTTGGACATTTTGGCTCTGGCACTAGGCATGAAAAAAATGGAAATAATGAGTGTAAATACTGGAAAGGAAGAGAGAGAATTATTAATTTCAGATGCTCTAATTGGATACATAGGAAGTCCAGAGGAATCAACTGAAAAACTCTTAGAATTAATAAAATAATTCAATGAAATGGCTTGATACATGATAAAATATACAGACTTCTTAGTATTCCTCTGGACCATAGAGAAATGGGGAAAAAATAGAATTATTTAAAAAAGAGATTCCATTTACAATAATGTGTGTGTTTCATCTGGAAAATCTTAAAAGAGAAACATGAATTACACACATGAGTAAAACAATAACAATTAGTCAAACTATAAAAGATGACTTGGGTAAATGGAACGGCATTCTCTATTTCTGGCAAGAAAAAGTATCGCATAGATATATCATTTTTTCCCCAGTTGATTACAATTTTGTTCCAATTTTAATCAAATCAAAATACATTTTTGAAACTTGACTGAAGGATTCTATAGTTTTTCTGGAAGAACAAACAGAGGTTATAAATGAATATTCTGGGGGAAAAAAAGAGAGGCTCTAACCCAGCCAGACTCAACCTTTTGTAAAGCTAAAATAATCAGCATAGATATCTGACACGAAAATATGCAAATTGATCAGTGGACTAGAGCAGAGAGTCCAAAAGTAAACTATTACAGATAAGAACTTTCATATAAGATAAAAGAGCGCTTGTAAATTTGGAGAGTAGAGGCAAAGACTATTTATTTATTTAAATTAATTTTTTTTAAATTTCAGCATATTATAAGGGTACAAATGTTTAGGTTACGTATATTGCCCTTGCCCCACCCAAGTCAGAGCTTAAACGTGTATATACTCATTCCCTCCTCCCCCCTCCCATCTGCCCGACACCTGATGAATGTTATTACTATATATGCACTTAAGTGTTGATCAGTTAATAATACCAATTTGATGGTGAGTACATTTTTCCATTCTTGGGATACTTTACTTAGTAGAATGGGTTCCAGCCTATCCAGGATAACACAAGAGGTGCTAGATCACCATTGTTTTTGTGGCTGAATAGAACTTCATGGTCTACATATACCACATTTTATTAATCCATTCATGTATTGATGGGCACTTGGGTTGTTTCCACATCTTTGCAGTTGTGAATTGTGCTGCTATAAACATTCGAGTGCAGATGTCTTTTTAAATAGAGTGTCTTTTGTTCTTTTGGGTAGATGCCTAGTGATGGGATTGCTGGATCAAATGGTAGATCCACTTGTATCTCTTTGAGGTATCTCCATATTGCTTCCCACAGAGGTTGTACTAGTTTGCAGTCCCAGGCAAAGACTATTTAATAAATTGCTTTAAGACAACTTGGTCAAACGAAATTGCCGCCACATGGCAGCACCATGAGGCAGTGCCTGCTGAGGCCCCAGAGGGGCTCTGTCAGCCAGAGGCAGTGAGCAGATTGACCTGGACCACTGGTAGTCATGGTGGAGCATCTATCTTTGTCCCCAGCAGGGAGAGCCGACCTAATAACACCTTAACCCCCACCACCGGGCACTGAATAGTGTGGGCAATTATGTTCCAAACATGGTTGTATGTTAGAATCACCTGGGAAGCTTTCAAACCATCAAATGCCTAGGCGGCACCCAGACCCAAGTACATCAGAACCTCTGGGGGTGTTTGGGCTCCACGTGTCAGTATTTGCTAACGCTTCCCAGGTATTTCCAACGAGCAGCCAAGCTTAGAACCACTGGTGCAGGGAAAGCACACGGGCCACTCTGTCTCCGAGATGTTTTCTCATCCGTGAAATAGGCCGCTAGCACGCGAGCACAGGTCATCGTGAGCAGCCCAAGAGATGAAGTGTACGGTTGTGTGCATCGTGGTACCACAACAAATGTCATTTCTTTCTCTCTGCAGTATGATAGATGCTCAGGAGAAAGGCTGGGGCTGGGGAGGTTGCAGGGGCCGAGACACAAAGCCCCACCCCATCCGGGAGGCTGCCTCTTCGCTCCCCCTTCCCATCTTGGGCTGAGCGCTGCTGGAGCACTGAGGGGCCCTTGGCCTCTTTCGCACCTGGGCGTGTTCAGGAGGCGGGACAGGGTGGCACAGACACGTGCTCTGGTAAGGCGGCCTGACTGGCCCCTTCTCTCCCTCCCCTCCTCGTCCTCAGGCACCAGGAGCTACCAGGAGCACGGCCACCGGATGCTGCTCATTTGGCTGCATGGTGTGGCCATGGCTGGTGAGAACCCCAGCAAAGCGCTGTTCGAGGGCCTCGTGGCCATTGGCAGAAGGGACCTGGCTGGTAAGAGCGTGCTCTGCAGCGCTCCCGCGCGGCTGCTGCGTGGCCTCGCCGGAATGCAGCAGGGCCCTCCAAGGGCTGCTCAGACCAGGCTGCTGGGCCGCTGGCCCTGGGCCTTCGAGATGCCTAGTCCTAGCCCTGCCTCCTTCCTCCATACAGAGACTTGGGCAAACCATAGTGCCTCAGTTTCCCCATTCGTGCAATGAGGATTTGGGCCAGAGTGAACCCTCTGACCTTCACAGCCCCCAAGCCACTGATGCTTTCTATAATCTCTTCCCTGCCAGCCCTCTATACCTTTATTTTCTTTTTTCCAGTTTGGAATAAGGCTGGAACAGATTTCTTTTTCACAAACATTAAGACATATGAGTCCCAGACTCAGGTGCCAAACCTGGCTTAATATGAATTGAACCAGTCAGATCTGGCCAAATAAGCCATCACAACCTTATGCCAGTCCCAAAGCCTGGTTTAGGATTCAGGGCATAACTGGGCAAGCACAATAAAAAATTTCAGTACTCATACCTCGTTAAAAATACAATCAACTCATGACAAAAAAGCTTTAAACACCGGAATGTCCATTGACATAGCACATTATGGAGCAACAACAGGATGGATAGGGTATGAGGCAGTCACTAGTAGTTGTGAAGCCTTCATTAGTGATGAGGCAACAAGAGAAATATTTCTAGCGTGTTATGGAGGGAAAGGAAAGCCCCAGTGGGGCAGCCAACCCACGGCAGCTACAGGCAAGGTGGGAAGCAGAGTCATTTCAGGGTGGAGGAACTAGGGCTGCCTTTTTTCTTTTTCCAAATTCTTCTTAAATATAGTTGTTACATCTTCTTTTAACACAAACTCTGGCAGGCGATTAACCACACAGCCAGCCCTCTGCCAGAGTGGTGGCACGTGCCTATAGTCCCAGCCACTCAGGAGGCTCAGGCAGGAGGTCATTTGAAGTCAGGAGTTCAAGTTCAGCCTGGGCAACATAATGAGACCCATCTCTAAAAAAGACCCCCAAAACCCAAAAAACCTAGCCCTGTGAGGCAGAGGCTACACAACATGAAACAATATTATTCTTGTCTTTTGCAGAAAGCATCAGGAAGAAAGCAAATGCAGACCCACCTGCCCCCAGGAGGTGCACAGCCATGTAACTGGAGATGCTGGACCTTCAGGCACATGGGACGTGGGAGTGTGGGGCCACCTGGATAGAAGATGATCACCATTTAAGAGATTAAAAAAAAAAATCACTGTTAACAGACCTCCAGCTGCTTCTACTGAAGCGCACAGTCATGCAGAGACCAGCAGGCAGCGCGTGTACAGTAATCTCCACGAGGGGCCTGTTTCAGGGTTTGTAGTGGGTAATCCCATCCCACGGGGATGGGCCTTCCCTGCTCTCTGCTCACTTTCACCTCCTTCCTCTTGAGCCTCATAGCCGTCCCTGGAGGTGCAAGGGCATCTTTACAGATAGGACACTGAGGCCCAGGGAGGAGATGCAGCTGCCCAGTTCGCACAGCTAATCAGCTGGTGGGGTCAGGGGCCAAACCTGGCATTCCTCCCACCCTGAACGGGCTCGTGTGTCACTTACTAATGGACTGCCCGTAACTGCCTGCTGGTTTGTAAGAATGTCATGCTTACTCCACGGCCTTTTATTTACAAGCTAATTTGTACACTTTGACAGTTCCAGGAGGCTTGCACTCTCATTTTTTCCCTCTTGTTTTATCATTTTTAAAAGTTAAAAAACTTTTTGTTTTGAAATCATTTCAGACATACAAAAAAGTTGCAGAAACGGTACAAAGAGTTTCCAAATACTCTTCACACAGCTTTCCCAAATACTAACATCTTATGTAACTACAGTATAATTTTCAAAACCAGGAAATTCACACTGATAATGTTAACTAATCTTCCGATCTTATGCAAATTTTGCCAGTTGAGCTATTCATGTCCTTTTTCTGGCCCAGGATCCAGTCCAAGACCACAGATTGCATTTAGTTGCCATTTTTCTTGTTTTTAATAGACTCGCATGAAGGGTCGCCTCTCTGGAGCAGCACCATGTGATGGAACTTTCTGCAACAGCAGGAACTTTCCGTTTTCTGCACCGGAGTCCACTAGAGTAGCCACGAGCTGCCTGGAGCTATTGAGCACTTGAAATGTGGCTAGAGGGAATAGAAACTTTTCATTTTATTTAATCTTAATTATCTGAAATTTCATCTGGCACCTTTGGCAAGTGGCAACCGCATTGGACGGCACAGCCAGCCTGACCCTCGGCTTTCAGGTGCTAGGCGAGCACGGCTTGTGGGGGTTGGCCGATCAGCAGGAGGGTGTGTTCCCAGGGAAATGTGGCTCTGGACGCTCCACGGTTTCCCAGAATGTGGGGAGTGTATCTGTGCAGGACAACCTAGAAGTTCGGCCTGGACGCTGTTTCTGTCTAATTTGAGCTCTCCTGCCTGTGGCACGGCTGGCTGTGGCCAGCTTAGCAGCCCACATCTTAGAGAAGCTGCCCTCAAAGTTCTCCACTGGGCCTGAGACTGGAAAGGAGGTAGAAGCGAAATTGAGCTGCCGCCCGTGGCTGGTGGGGTTCACGGTGGTACAATCTCTGAAGAGCCAAATTACACATACCTTTACTCATTGGTCTAGCAATCCCACCTCTAGAAACTTATCCTACAGATATACCTGTACGTGTACAAAATGACAGATATATGAGGTTATTTATTATTGCATTATTTGAAAAAACAAGAGGAAAAGATTGGACATCTACAATGTCCAAGTGACCATCTACAGGGGACTGGTGAGATAGGGTATAGTCCACCCACACAATGGAATACTATTCAGCAGTGAAAAAGAATGAGGGCGCTTTCCACGTGTCGTTCTGGAAAGAGGTCCAGGATAAATGAAGTAAAAAATAAATCAAGGTATAGATCAGTGTATATAGTATGATACTAATTATATAAGGAAAAAAGGAAATAAGACAATATGTTTGCTTATATTTGCATAAGTAAAACTAGACGAAGGCTAAGACACCAAGTGGCCTCCCTGGGGAAGGAGGATAGCAGGGGGCAGTGGGACTGGGACCCGGCGGGGGAGAGAGCGCTCAGTGGTACCTTTTTATGCTGTTTTCAGTTTTGAAATGTGTAAGTGTATTACTGATTCAATACTAAAAGGATATGACATTCTGGAACAGGCAAAACTGTACAGACAGTAACAAAAGATCAGAGGTAGCCAGGGGCTGTGGGCAGTGAGGGGGAGGGAGGGATGAAGAGGTCCGGGTGGACTTTTAGGGCAGTGGACTGTTCTGAACAATACCGTAGCGTGATACTGTTCTGAACAATACTGGATCCGTGATACTGCAGTTAGTCAAAACCCACAGAATGAGGCCAGGCGCTGTGGCTCACGCCTGTAATCCTAGCTCTTGGGAGGCCGAGGCGGGCGGATTGCTCAAGGTCAGGAGTTCAAAACCAGCCTGAGCAAGAGCGAGACCCCGTCTCTACTATAAATAGAAAGAAATTAATTGGCCAACTGATATATATATAAAAAAAAATTAGCCGGGCATGGTGGCGCATGCCTGTAGTCCCAGCTACTTGGGAGGCTGAGGCAGAAGGATCACTCAAGCCCAGGAGTTTGAGGTTGCTGTGAGCTAGGCTGACGCCACGGCACTCACTCTAGCCTGGACAACAAAGTGAGACTCTGTCTCAAAAAAAAAAAACAAAACAAAAAAAAACCCACAGAATGTACAACACAAAATGAGACCTAATGGAAACTCTGGGCTTTAGTTAATAAGTGTCAATATTGTTCATCAGTCATATGAGGTGTACCGCCCTGATGCACGATGGTAATGATGGAGAGGGGTATGTGGGAACTCTCTGTACTGTCTGCTCACGTCTTCTCTAAGCCCAAAACTGTTCTAAAAAATAAAGTACTGAAAAACTAAAAGTAAAGTTATAAAAAGAAAATAAAGAAAAAGAAGATTTTAAATAATCCCATCCAATCCATTTGGGAGAGGGTTTTGCACCATATGAAATTTAAATCACTCATTTGGATGAATTTAACAGAATGAATTTTGCATTATTTTTTACTGAGACAAAAAAGCAAGTTCTTAAATACAATAAAATTGAAATGTTGGAAATATATTTCTCAAATTCAATATCATTTCTTTTCTTTGGGAAATCTAGGGTAAAAACGTTCAAGTTAGACAAGCTGTCACGGGTAGCTCCTTTGCAATCGCAACCATTCAACTCACCAGTATGTTTTGAGTGTGTTCTAGCAGGCGATCTGCTGGGACATGAGAGCCTGCAGTTCCTGCCCCCAGAAGCTGAGGGACTCGGGGACAGGGGCTTGGACACTGAGCACTGGAACAGAGTGCGGTCCGTGCAAAGAACTATGGGCTTCGTTCTTCTTCGGGAAAGGCAGGGGAAGAAGGGTCTGAGAAGGTCACAGAGAGAGGTGGGTGGGAACACAGGAAGTGTGAAAGGAGGGGAAGAGATGCGGTGAGGGGCAGGAAATGGGTGAGGAGTGCAGAGGGGACATTGGAAATTGTTCCCCACCCCATAATCAAAAAAAATTTTTTTGTGTGTGATGAGGTCTTGTATGTCACCCAGGCTGGAGTGCAGTGGCATCAGCCTAGCTCACTGCAGCCTCCAACTCCCAGGCTTAAGCGATCCTCCTGCCTTAGCCTCCTGAGTAGCTGAGAGGCACTCACCACCATGCCCAGCTAATTTTTCTTACGTTTTGTAGTGACGCGTGTCTCACCATGTAGCCCAGGCTGGTCTTGAACTCCTGGCATCAAGCGATCCTCCTGCTTTGGCCTCCCAAAGTGCTGGGATCACAGGTGTGAGCCACCACGCCTGGCCAAAAACTGGATGTCTCCTAAGGTAAAAACTGAGCAGGATAGACTCCCTCTTTGGAAATGCACACCTGCCTCTCCTTTCAGAGAGTGATTTACCTTGCTAGTTGTGACTTTTTTTCCATTTTCTTAATTTTTTTCCCTCCAAAAAGGTTAAAAATCCTTAATCTTGTTTTTAAAATGTGTATTTAAATCTCTTTTCCAATGTATATTTGTTTACTGTTGCTCCCTTCCTTTTCAAGATATATACTATACTTAGGCCGGGTGTGGTAGCTCACGCCTGTTGTAATCCTAGCACTCTGGGAGGCCAAGGCAGACGGATTATTTGAGCTCAGGAGTTTGAGACCAGCCTGTGCAAGATCGAGACCCCATCTCTACTAAAAAAAATTGAAAGAAATTAGCTGGACATCTAAAAAAAAAAAAAAAATATATATATATATATATATAATGAGCCTGGTGGTGGTGCATGCCTATAGTCCCAGCTACCCAGGAGGCTAAGGCAGGAGGATCACTTGAGCCCAGAAGTTTGAGGTTGTTGTAAGCTAGGCTGATGCCATGGCACTCTAACCTGGGCAACAGAGTGAGACTCTGAAAAAAAAATATATATATATATATATATATACTACACTTAAAACCTATTCAAACATACACCATAGTTTATATACTTGTAGTACAAGGTGTTTTCCTGTGGATGCCAGGATGATTTGTGGAAGGGGCACACCCTAGGCCACATCATATGTCAAAAGGAGCTCATGAAACTCACATGTTAAGAACTGGGATGGGGCCGGGCGTGGTGGCTCACGCCTGTAATCCTAGCACTCTGGGAGGCTGAGGCGGGCAGATTGCTTGAGGTCAGGAGTTCGAAACTAGCCTGAGCAAGAGCAAGACCCCATCTCTACTATAAATAGAAAGAAATTAATTGGCCAACTAATATATATAGAAAAAATTAGCCGAGCATGGTGGCGCATGCCTGTAGTCCCAGCTACTCAGGAGGCTGAGGCAGTAGGATTGCTTGAGCCCAGGAGTTTGAGGTTGCTGTGAGCTAGGCTGATGCCACGGCACTCACTCTACCCTGGGCAACAAAGCAAGACTCTGTCTCAAAGAAAAAAAAAGAACTGGATGGGCCTGGCGTGGTGCCTCACGCCTGTAATCCTAGCACTCTGGGAGGCGGAGATGGGAGGATTGCTCAAGGTCAGGAATTCAAGACTAGCCTGAGCCAGAGTGAGACCCCGTATCTACTAAAAATAGAGAGAAATTAGCTGGACAACTGAAAATATATAGAAAAAATTAGCTGGGCATGGTGGCACCTGCCTGTAGTCCCAGCTACTCGGGATGGTGAGGCAAAAGCATTGCTTGAGCCGAGGAGTTTGAGGTTGCTGTGAGCTACAGTGATGCTACCGTACTCTAGCCCAGGCAACAGAGCAAGATTTTGTCTCAAAAAAAAAAAAAAAGAACTGGGGTGAAGGCCTTGCTTGCTGGTTATATCTGGAGGTTGCTCTCTTTGTGTTTTCCTGTGTGCTGACCTTCAGTAAGTGGTAAAAGCCTTATTTCAGAGTTTCTGAAACTGTGGTCTCATCTCATTTCCACAATGGAGGTCCCTCAGTGTCCATACACCAGTAAGGGACAAGATCAGACCTGTGTGTGGGCAACACGGAGGCTGGATGGGGTGGGGTGGAGGTGGCCGGTGGAGCCACTGCAGTAGACTGGGCCAGAGACGCCAAGGCCCATGGCTAGGAAGGGTCAAATTTGGAGGAAGGTTGCTAGATCTCTGAGATCAGGGGACATGGGTGTGGTAGATGTGGACATGCGCTGCTCAGACCCCCTTCTTCCGGAAAGGCCTTGCTACCCAGCTGTAGGAGTGCAGGGAGTAGGCCGGGCGCCGTGGCTCACGCCTGTAATCCTAGCTCTCTGGGAGGCCGAGGCGGGCGGATTGCTCAAGGTCAGGAGTTCGAAACCAGCCTGAGCAAGAGCGAGACCCCTGTCTCTACTATAAACAGAAAGAAATTAATTGGCCAACTAATATATATAGAAAAAATTAGCCGGGCATGGTGGTGCATGCCTGTAGTCCCAGCTACTCGGGAGGCTGAGGCAGCAGAATCGCTTGAGCCCAGGAGTTTGAGGTTGCTGTGAGCTAGGCTGACGCCACGGCACTCACTCTAGCCTGGGTAACAAAGTGAGACTCTGTCTCAAAAAAAAAAAAAAAAAAAGGAGTGCAGGGAGTGGACGGCCTCCACCTGTCAGCCTTCAGAGCTGCCTCCCTGCAGAGAGCTGCCTCACCCAAGGGGCCGCCCTCCCCAGGACAGGCTACATCTGGGAAGTGAGCAAAGTAGAGGGCCACAAAGGCCCAGTCATTTCAGTCCTCCAAGAGAATGTTCCAGGGGGCACCTCTAGCCCCAGAGCTCCCTGCCTAGTTGGCAGGTGCTTGGTGAGACCCGCATCACAACCCAGTTTCTCCCTCGGCCCAATCCCTCTTCCCCTCATAGAAGTTGATTCTTAATAAACATCCTTCATCCAAAGTTTCATCTCGGCAGCTATCTGCTTTGGCCTGAGTCGTGGGGATCCAAGATGGCTGAGTTTCCAGCTGGGGAATGTGAGGAAGAGTGATGCCAGAACTGAGATGGTTTTGGTAGTGGGGACACAGTGTGGTTTTTGCCGGGTAGTCTGTAGAAGGCTGGCCTAACAGATAGGCCTGAGCAGGCATTCAAGGCCAGTGCTCAAAACTGGTCAGGGCTGAAAATGGCAATTTGCAATCATCAGGCATAGAGCCAGGGAGTAGTTAGAGCTGTAATAGGGCGGAGGCTTCGATGGGGAGAATTTGATAAGAAAGTGGAGGGCAGTCCCACAGTCCATTCCTGCACTGGGACGCAGGGGCTACTGAAGATACCTAGCGTGGCCCTGCCCACAGGAGCTCCCTGTTTGGGAAGTCAAGACACAAACAGCAAAACTATGGCAGCCTCAAGAATACCTCAGACGCTACCAGTTAAAACGTCAAGCCCTGCCTTTATAGCTTAATCAAGTGCTTCCATAACTCACAGCAGTGGTCAAGGCATGGGTAGTGAGAGAAGAATCTGCAGCCTTTGTGCAAAGATCACTGGCTTTGGGGACTCAAGCTGGCATCGCAGCTCCACCCCTTTCTGTGTGACCCTGAGCACGTCTCCCAGTCTCTGGGGCCTCACTTGTAAGGTCAGGATAAGCAGGGCTGGGGTGGGATGAAATCTGAGATGGCACAGCCAACTCAGTGTTTTGAAACCTGGCAAATATAGGGAAAGAAACACCCATGCTTATTTTCCTGTCTACACTGTACCTCAGAGAAACCAAGTAGTTGATGAGGGAAAATTTTTTTTTAATTGGTAAAATTCAGCTAAAAAGTACAGAAGGAATGATAAAAATTAGAGTGTCATTATGGTCCTGCAACTCCTAGTGAAATGACACATCTGTGCAATGATCAGCAATGGCAGCTAAACCAGCTCAATCAGGCTGACGCCTGAATCCGCCCAGCAGTCGTGACACCTTGACACAACCAGACATTATGAGGTGACACCCACAGGAGGCACACAGCCCCACCTAGGAAGTGTTCCTGCCAAAAAGACTGCGCTTCATCAAGCCTGTAGATGTAACCGCCAGTTTATGGGAGATAGCAGGGATGGAGAAACAAGCTGAAGGACACCAGGAGACTGCAGTCAGGCAAATCCAGACTGTGGGGCAACCACAGGGCAAATGAGCCTGTTTCTTCATTCAATATACAGGATGAAAAAAATGGAAGAGGAACTTGTAGTTTAAAAGAGACTTAAGAGACATTTCAATCAAATGCGGACTTTACATGGAATCTAATTGGAATAAGTCAATTATAAAAAACATTTATGGGATAATTGTGAATGGGAACATAGACTGGATATCAGATGATATGAAAGAATTAGTGGTAAATTTTTAAGTGTGATAATGATATTAAGGCTATGTCTTGAAGGTACACACAGAAATCTTTACAGATGAAATGATATGACATCAGAAATTGCTTTAAAATAATCCAGCAACAGGTACATATGTGGAAGAAGTGAGGGTAGGTTAAAAGAAGAAACCAGACTGCCTGTGAGTTGATAATTTTTTTTTTTTTCCGCTTTGTTGCCCAGGCTAGAGTGAGTGCCGTGGCATCAGCCTAGCTCACAGCAACCTCAAACTCCTGGGCTCAAGCAATCCTCCTGCCTCAGCCTCCCAAGTAGCTGGGACTACAGGCATGTGCCACCATGCCCGGCTAATTTTTTCTCTATATATTAGTTGGCCAATTAATTTCTTTCTATTTTTAGTAGAGATGGGGTCTTGCTCTTGCTCAGGCTGGTTTCGAACTCCTGACCTCAAGCAATCTGCCCGCCTCGGCCTCCCAGAGTGCTAGGATTATAGGCGTGAGCCACCACGCCTGACCTACTTGATAATTTTTGAAGCTGGGTGATAGGGACATAGTTCATTATATTATTTTCTCTACTTTGTGTGTTTAAAAATTTCCACTCAGGAGGAAAGAAAGAAGATACAAAAAGTACCTGACACATAATAACAGCTCAATACATGATACTGTTATTCTGTTATGAACAAACCATACTTTAGGGAGATTAAGTAACTTCCCCAAAGTTATACAGAATTGGCAAAAACCATGGCCTGCTTCTCAGGAAGTCCCGTGTGTAGGCCAGTTGGGCAACATAATCACAAAATAATCACAAAAGCAACTTACTGAAATTAAACTTTTATTCCAAATAACTGTAATATCTAGAAACTAGACAACTAACACTCAAAACAATTTGCTTAATTGGAAATTAAAAGTAGTTGATTGGGGGAGAGCAAACAGTGGGGTGCTAGCCGTGGCACTTTGAGAATGGTTATACCCAAGAAAGCATAAAAATAACCAGTGTCCTTCTGATATACAATCTGGATATGCAGCATTTACAGCAAATAATATAAAAAAAAGAAGGAAGAAAGGAAAAGGAAAGAAAAGAGAAAAGAAAAAAACACCACAAAATCCCAAACCTCAGAAATTAACATTCACTTAAGAACACAGGAAGACTTCTGGTAGCAAAATTTGCACAGTCCTTAAAATAGGAATCTTCAAAAGTACTTCTTCAAATCCAAAAGCTAATAAAATTAGAAGAGAGAACAGTTACGCTGGCTTACGGGGGCTGTCGCCTGTCACGAAGATGACCATCAGTCCTGCTTCCAAAACACAGTGAGAACCGGTGAGCCCGACGAAGCTGAAGGCAGAGGCTGCTGGCAGGTACTGACGTCGCCGATTGTATGAGAACGCGCTGGGATCAACTCATCACGGACAGCGAAAGCCACTACTGCTCCTCCTGGCTGACAGTGAGGTTGCCTTTCTGCACCTCAAGCTCCTCGGCACTGACCATTGATGGGTCAATAGCTGCGTATTTGGTTCCATGGAATTGCAGCAAATGTATCTGTCGGAACACAGAATCATTACTTTAAATGGCTGTATTACAAAGTAAAGTGGGTACTGCCTTATATAAAAAGCCTGGTAGGCTAGCACTCTGGGAGGCTGAGGCAGGCGGATTGCTCAAGGTCAGGAGTTCGAAACCAGCCTGAGCAAGAGCAAGACCCTGTCTCTACTAAAAATAGAAATTAATTGACCAATTAAAATATATTAAAAAAATTAGCTGGGCATGGTGGCCTGTAGTCCCAGCTACTCGGGAGGCTGAGGCAGGAGGATCGGCTTGAGCCCAGAAGTCTGAGGTTGCTGTGAGCTAGGCTGACGCCACCGTACTCATTCTAGCCTGGGCAACAAAGTGATACTCTGTCTCAAAAAATAAAAAGCCTGGTAGGAAAACATCACCACAGGTAGGTAAATGTTTTATACTTCTCCAAGTTCCTACAAAGTCTCCTTATAGACATTTTTTTTTTAATTTCAGCATATTACAGGGGTACAAATGTTTAGGTTACATATATTGCCTTTGCCCCACCTGAGTCAGAGCTTCAAACGTGTCCATCCCCCAGACAGTGTGCACCGCACCCATTAGGTGTGTCTATAGCCATCCCCTCCTCCCCACTCCCATCCTCAGACATCTTTGGCAGCATGCTGCTTCCCTTCTGTTGCTGTGAGTTGCGACCTTACAGTTTTCTGCTACTATGACTAATGCTGCAATGAATATCTCTGGGCATCAAGTTTTCTATGTTTAGGATCCTGTCTTTAGGATTTATTTCTACAAGTGGATGGCAGGATCAAAGGATGTGACTGGTTTTTAAGGCTCTTGATACTTCCTGTCAAACTGTCAAAGCAATCACTTTTCTCCACTGTGCTATTACCCATTTAGGTAAAGTATGAAGAGGTGGTGTTTGTTGGTTTTTTTTTTTTTTTTTTTTTAAGGCATTAAAATTAGATCAAGAAGCCTCTTCATAGGACTCAAACTGAGCCCATTTAGGTCTGGTATCTTGCTTTGGTTAAATTCAGTGTGTCTAGGAGGCAGGTCACATGGCACCAGCAGCTATCTCAGTGTGTGGGTACAGGCCTGCTCTTCTTGGAAAAGTGATGGTGGACAGAGGGTCACCCAGGAATATCCAATGCTCCTGTCTGAATTCTCCTACAAATTGTATATGTAAAAAAATTATATATGTAGTCCAGTTGGGCACTTTTATCAAGTCAATGCCTCATTCCTATAATGAATTCTGTAGTTCCCTTATTCCTTTACCCTACTATAAAAAAATTTAAAAAGCTTTATATTATAAACCATACATTTCGGGTTCAGAGTGCTTTAAGCTCCAAGCTGGGACTTACCTGGACATAAAGATTCACCTCTGCGCTTCTACACAGGTACGGGAAATTGCCTCCTGTTTTAAGGTGAGCTCTTCGGGCATTGGGATACAGCTTGTACATTTCTTCTTTAGCTTCAGTTGAAAGTGCACTCTGGTCAAACACCTTTTAAAAAACCACAAAGCTGAAATCTCCTGGTATGTTAATATGTTCTTTTTAGATTGTTAGCCCACACATTCCTTTCTCATGAAAACACAAGACTGAGCCCTCAGCAGCCTGAGCCACCTCCTCGTGCTGATCCCTGGTGACTTCTAACTCCAACCTAAGACATTAGCTAAAGATTTGCTGCCAAGTGTCTCTTGCACTTTGGGGGGCGGTGGTGGAGTCAACCTTTTTCCTCAAATACAACTAACTAAATTAGCAGAATATTAATAGTAAACAATCATGGAAAATGCCAATTAATTTCAAAAAAATCATGAAACCCCAAAAGAACTTTTCCGTTTATTATCAGTTAAAAACAACTGTATATCATATATATACTCAGTGAAAACATTTAAAAAGTATAAAAACATTTAAAGAGTATAAGTGGCCAGGCACAGTAGCTCATATCTATAATCCTAGCACTCTGGGAGGCTGAGGCGGGCGGATTGCTCGAGGTCAGGAGTTTGAAACCAGCCTGAGCAAGAGTGAGACCTCGTCTCTACTGTAAATAGAAAGAAATTAATTGGCCAACTAATATATATAGAAAAAATTAGCTGGGCATGGTGACACATGCCTGTAGTCCCAGCTACTCGGGAGGCTGAGGCAGGAGGATCGCTTGAGCCCAGGAGTTTGAGGTTCCTGTGAGCTAGGCTGACGCCAGGGCACTCACTCTAGCCTGGGCAACAAAGTGAGACTCTGTCTCAAAAAAATAAATAAAGAGTATAAGGTAAAAAGAGTACAAGATAAAAAGTCCAAATCCTTTCTTAGGGAAGCCCCTGATGGCAGTTTAGAGTGTATGATTCTAGACATCTTTCAAGATATATACAAATTCATGTTTTTATAACACATGCAAAAATGTTTTTCAAAAAGTAATTTAAAAGAAGCAAATATATATTTATATATAACATATATTTTTAATATATATATACATATGTGTGTGTTTAAATGCATCTCCAACAAAAACTTGTAGGCAGTTTCCAGTGGCCATGAACCCAGGTGGTGCGCACAGCTTTGAAAGGGCAGGCAGAGCAAAGACACTGTGAGGACCATTGACAAGCTTGCTCTATGTCATGGTAAATGTCAGAATGCAGTGATTATAGTACAGAATAAGTTATTGTTTATATGATTGTAATGGATAATTACTTGAAAAAAATCAATTCATAGAAATACCACATTATTTGAATTTAGGAACAAATCCATTTATGAGGCAACATAAAGTAGTTATGTGATTTTAAAAAAAGTTAAAACCGTAGTGAGATACCACTTTACATCCATTAGGATGAATATTAACAAAAAACCCCAGAAAATAACAAGTTTTGTCCAGGATGTGCAGAAGTTGGAACCCTTGTGCATTGCTGGTGGGAATGTAAAATGGTACAGTCACTGTGGAAGACAGTATGCCATTTATTCAAAAAGTTAAACATGTAATTACTGTAAATTCCAGCAATTCTACTTATAGGTATATACCAAAAGCATTAGAAGCTGAGACTCAAACAGATACTCTTATATCAATATTCATAGAAACATTAACAATAACATTAACATTAACAATAGCCAAAAGCTGGAAACAACCCAAATGTCTCTTGACAGATGAATGGATAAACAAAATATCGTATGTACAAACAATGGAATATTCTTCAGCCTTAAAAAAGGAATGACATTCTGACACGTGTAACACACATTTTGGGACAAATCTTGAAAATATTATGCTAAATAAAACAAGCCACACAAAAGGGTAAGTACTGTATTATTCTACTTATATGAGGTTCCTAGAATAGTCAAACTCGCAGAAACAGAAAATAGATTGTTGGAGGAGAAGAAAGGGAATGGAGTATGGGTATGGAGTTTCTTCTTAGAATGATGAAAAAGTTCTGGAAATGGATGGCAGTGACAGTTGCACAACATGAATATACTTAATGACACTGAACTGTATACTTAAAAATGGTTAAAATTGTAGATTTTTTTTTTTTTTTTTTTGAGACAGAGTCTCGCTTTGTTGCCCAGGCTAGAGTGAGTGCCGTGGCGTCCTAGCTCACAGCAACCTCAAACTCCTGGGCTCGAGTGATCCTTCTGCCTCAGCCTCCCGGGTAGCTGGGACTACAGGCATGTGCCACCATGCCCGGCTAATTTTTTATATATATATCAGTTGGCCAATTAATTTCTTTCTGTTTATAGTAGAGACGGGGTCTCGCTCTTGCTCAGGCTGGTTTTGAACTCCTGACCTTGAGCAATCCGCCCGCCTCGGCCTCCCAAGAGCTAGAATTACAGGCGTGAGCCACAGTGCCCGGCCTAAAATTGTAGATTTTTTAAATGTACATTTTACTGCAATTTTAAAAAATAAGAAACTTTTGTGCTAATTAGACCTTGTGGAATTCTTGATTCTCTGCCCTCACGAGGCAGCTTCTTTTTGCTGCCCAGATGAGTAATAGCTAAAGTGCAATATCTGTTGATGAGAACAGTAAAAATACATCAAAATGGGTTAAAATTCCCATGTTTGTTTAAATTTATTTTGATTTCAATGGTGTTACTCTCAACAGGAAAAAAATCCAAGATAAGCAATAAACAGATTATTTTGGAATTGAGAAAGCTGGAGGGTGAGAACAAAATCCAAGGCAGCATTTGTAGAGGCACATTGAAAATTATAAAATAATCATATGGAGGTTCTTGACATATATATTTTACTAAAAAGGAAGCTTACATCCATAATGGTTACAGGGATGTCCCGAATTTTATGAGGTTCCACGTAAGAATTTTGACAATTCAGGGTAAGTCTTGAAGCAAGTTCACTCTGACCCAAACTTTCCAACTGCAGGAAGAAAACACAAGTACAGTGTTGGAAATAATTTTTTTTCACATTTACATTAAATCCACAGATAACATTTATGCCTTTATTTTATTTTATTTTTTTAGAATGCCAGCATTCCAAGACATTTATGCCTTTAAAGGTGGTGTCATGTGCAGGGCGGCCAGAAAAGTCACCAATGAGGAAACACAATTTATTTGAGAGACCCTGAACTGGGCTTCTCAGAAAGTGGTGGCATTTTTCTATTCTGGGAACCTGGATAGGATTCCACAAATTAAACCTGACTACCTACAGCCCTCAATCTAGACTGCCTGTTTCAACCAGGTACCTGTGGGCAGCAAGCCAGTTCCTATAGCTCAAAGGTAACAGATAAACCTTCAAGGATCTTAGAGCTGGAAGAGACTTTGGAAATTATCTAGCTCAGCTGTTCCTAATACAAGCCTATAGACCTGGTTCATCAGATTTACTCAGTGGGCTGGGGAAGTGGTATAAATTAAAAATAAAGATTCCCAGATCCCACACCTGGAGAGGGATGGAGGGATTCCAGTTGGATGGTCTGGTGTAAGGCCTTGGAATCTGTATTTTTTTTTTTTTTTTAAGACTAGTCAAGTGCAGTAGTGAAGAGGGGGGAAAGTAGTAGAACAAGCAGTTTAATCTATACCTGACTGTGAACAATCAAGTGAGATAACTCACTACCTTCAGACCAGGCGAGTCTATATTTTTGAAAGCTCACCCAAGTGATTTTGATAAACAGCTGGTGGAAAACACTAATATATTAATAGGCAAGCCCTTAGCCACAATAATATATGTTCAGATGTATTAAAGTTAGTATGGAAGATTGCCTAACAAATACCTCTAATACATACTCAATGAGACAGATGTATCTTCTGGAACCACGTAGATGTGAAAATTCCCAGTACAATGTGTTCCCACCCCAGTGCCACGATCTTTACCCTGTCCACCATGAAATCAATGGCGTCAGCCATAACGGGGTCCACTGGGCCAGATGAAAAGTTTCCGAGAACTATTTTTTTGAGCATAAATGCTGGCATCAGCCAAAAGCTGTAAAACAAAGACAAAGATCTGATAATGTAAACTTCTAAGACTACACATGAATGGCAAATATTCATTCAACATTGAAGCTTTGTATTAGCTAGGTACTTGGGATCTAGAGATAAAAAGACCTAATCCCTTCCTTCAAAGAGCTCAGCATCTAGTTGTTTTTTTTTTTTTTGAGACAGAGTCTCACTCTGTTGCCCTGGCTAGAGTGCTGTGGTGTCAGCCTAGCTCACAGCAACCTTAAACTCCTGGGCTCAAGCAATCCTACTGCTTCAGCCTCCCGAGTAGCTGGGACTACAGGCATGCGCCACCATGCCCAGCTCATTTTTTCTATATATTTTTAGTTGTCCAGCTAATTTCTTTCTATATTGTTTTTTTTTTAGTAGAGATAGGGTTTTATTCTTGCTCAGGCTGATCTTGAACTCCTGAGCTCAAACAATCTGCCCACCTCAGCCTCCCAGAGTGCTAGGATTACAGGCATGAGCCACCGTGCCTGGCCCAGCATCTAGTTCTTAAACACACTTTTCCAAGATTCCAAAGAGTTATGGCTTACTTAATATAATTAAACCCTTATTGGAGGATTTAGAATAATTATTAAATTTAACACTGCAAAATACCTTTACTGAAGTAGACAGTCTCATGATTCTAAGATTCTTTTTTCCTAATTGGCCTTATTTCCAATGATTAAACTAATCCCTTTGGAAAACTGAGTATTAATAGAAATATTCCTTCCTTCCAGTTGATACCATTTTTTAACTGATACTTCAAAATATTTCAAAATATCAATATGAAAGTTACTGCATCTCCCCAAATTTGCTACTATTAGATTCAATTAGACTAATGCAAGGCAATTTGATTGTTATGGATTTCTATATATGATTTTTAGTTGATATTTATTCCACTAATTTCAACTGCTGTGAGTTGTCATGGAAGATAAACACTAATGTCTCTAAACCTATGCTGAAAATTACTTACAAAAGGTGCAGACCACCTTCTGATGCTTATTCTCATTGGAATGGCCTTGTTGGAAGTTGAGCTTCCCTCAGAAGGACCACTCGGCCAACTTTCAGTTAACTTTCTAAGTTCTCTCCCACCCCTACCTCTTTCTTATCCTTTAAAGGTAATAATGTCTAAGTGTGCTCTGTAAGGGGTAGACCCTGTTGGCTTTGCTTACTCCTGTATCCGCACTCAGATATCTGATTTAAAAAAATAGCTGATTTATTTTGTGCAAAAGCACAAACTAAATGGGTACAGTCTTGGCATTCTGGCAAGTAGAACAATACAAAATCACTGAAAATAATCAATGAGCTTTAGTGCATCATCTGGACAGGAAGTATTTGTATGTAGCTAATGTATACAAGAAATTGGTTTATGAATTCTCAGTAAACTAGTGAGATAACATCAGGAAAAGGTCTCAAAAATATCAGAGTACAATTTTAAGAAGATGTGAAACCATGCAAACAACATTTATCTATTAAATGTAACATTATTTGAAAACTAACCTGATCATACATATATGTTTAGTCACTGGGCTTTTTTTTTAGGGTCGACCCCAGCCTTGCTAGCAATGAAAGAGTGCACAGTAAGCCAGCTTTAGATATCTATCAAACTAACTAAAATGATAAAATCAATAAAGGGATGGTTCTGAGGAAAGAGGCACCCCACTGGTTGCCCCTAAAGCATTTCCACCATTTCTCTTTCTGAAGAGCAGAGTAACAGCAAGTGTCATGATGTGCAGAACATCTGCTGATGGAATAAATGTTCTAGTCCTTCCATTTGGGGAATATACCTCATGGAAATAACCCAGAAAGGGAAGGAAAACAGTAATTATACAAAGATATACTGTAGAACATAATGAAGAATAGGAAAAAGGCAAATGCCTAATGAAACTGTGTTAGTCAATACACAGAACTGTTCATACAAAATAAGTGGGACAAACAGAACACATATTAGCCATACGGACACACTGAAGAGAAACAGTGAAAGTGTATGAATGTACATTAAACAAAATTAAACAGTAATTTAAAGTAATGGGAAGAATCAAACTTAGAGTTCATTCAATCCTTCTCTTTTGCAAAGATAATTGTTTATAATTTTAACCACTTCAGTATGAGCATTGACTATAGTCGATACCCAAAGATGAGCGTGCACAGCCAAGCGTCGACTATGAGTGCCGGCTGTGGGCAAGGTTTCAAGGCCGGTGAGCGCTGTACCAAAGTGGTTAAAAGCCAAGGAAGCTGCAGAAAACAACTAAATACAAGCCTTCCCTTCCTACTGCACCAAAAAACCCCAAAGCCAACATTTTCAAAACTTCGCTGAACAAAAATAAGAAGAATTTTGGCCTAATGTTTATGTTCTTACCTGTTTGCAGTCCAAGTTTGGTTGAAGATAGAGGTGTCACTGAAGGAATTGCAGAGGATGAGGGAATGAACTCTGGGAGATTTGTGAGTATATTCAGCAAATTTCTGGGCCAAAAAACCTCCCAAAGAAGCCCCAAAAAGATGAACCTAATTATAAAAAATCATAAGGCAGATTCTAAAATACTGATCAATCCTGAACATGAGTATCAAAAAAATTGCTTCAATTATCACTAACCACAGAATATAATATCATCACTAGCCAAGAGACTAAAGTATCTACAGCAATTAGAAATTTAGGAAATGCTATATGTATGTATGTATTGATTGAGGCAGAGTCTCGCTCTGTTGCCTGGGCTACAGTGCCATGGTGTCAGCCTAGCTCACAGCAACCTCAAACTTCTGGGCTCAAGCAATCCTTCTGCCTCAGCCTCCTGAGTAGCTGGGACTATAGGCATGTGCCACCATGCTCGCTAATTTTTTCTACTTTTAGTTGTCTGGCTAATTTCTATTTTTAGTAGAGACGGGGGTCTCACTTTTGCTCAGGCTAGTCTCAAACAACCCTCCCGCTTGGCCTCCCAGAGTGCTAGGATCACAGGCGTGAGCCACCACACCCAGCTGGAAATACTGTATTTATTTAAATGCAATTTATAAACCCCATCAAGAAAACAATACAACTGTACATCCAAATCATACAAGTTAAAAAAAAAATTAAGATGGCATTATAAAATGAAACCACTTATATAGTTTGTTTAAGAAAACTATGATTCAGTAATTCCACTCTTAGGTACATACCTAAGAGAAATGAAAATATATGTCAACATAAAATCTTATATATGAACGTTCACAGCAGGGTTATTCATGCTAGCCAAAAAGTGGAAACAACTCAAATGTGCATCAGCTGATGAACTGATAAACAAAATACGGTATATTCATTCAAATATTATTTAGCCATCAAGAGAAATGAAGTACTGACTCGTGCCTCAACATGAACGAACCTCAACAACATAATGCTAAATGAAAAAAGCCAGTCACAAAAGGCCACACATATCATATGATTCCATTTATGTAAAATATCCAGAGTAGGCAAATCCACAGAGACGGAAAGCAGAGTAGGTTGCAAGGTGAGGAAGACAGAAGATGGGGAATGACTGCTAATAAAAATGGGATTTCTTTTTGGGATAAAAAAAATGTCCTAAACTTGACAGTGGTGATGATTGCACATACCTGTGAATATACTAAAAAAACACTGATTATATACTGTAAAAGGGTAAATTGTATGGTATGTGAATTATATTGCAATAAAGCTGTTATTAAATAAAAGATGTCTGGGTGTGGTGGCTCATGCCTGTAATCCCAGCACTTTGGGAGGCCAAGGCAGGAGAATTACTTAAGGCCAGGAGCTCAAGACCAGCCTGAGAAATATAGTGAGACCTTGTTTCTACAAAAACCAGAAAAATTAGTTTGGCATGGTGGTATGCACCTATAGTCCCAGCTACTCGGGAGGCTGAGGCAGTAGGATCACTCAAGCCCAGGAGTTTGAGATTGCAGTAAGCTATGACTGGACCACTATACACCATCGTGGGCCACAAAGTGAGACCCTGTCTCTAAAAAGATAAAAAGAATAAAAATAAAAGACAATATCAGGCTTTACAATATAAATGTTGCATTAAAATCACACATCTGTAATTAATTCCAAGGTACTCACTTTATCCAATTGTAAATGATCTAAAAGTTTTCTGAATCCATCACAGAATTCAAGATGGTCCCAATAAACTGGATACTGCAACTGAAATAATAACAATAATTTTAAATTTATTTTAAAAATTTTAAAGGTAAAACTGCAACTCATATATTTGAAAAGTTTAGGATTGACATAATAGCATTTCTCATTTGCCCAAGCTCTGTTCCTTATTTAAAACATGTGAAAATAAGCTCTTACTTTCTGCTAAACTTCATAATTCACACTTTACTTAAAAGACCAAAATTAAGATAATAAAAAGCCACACTGTAGTGATACTATGTGAATAAAAATTTCAATTCACATCAATTCCCTTTCTAAATAGCTGAGAATGTCTGATATTCAAGGATGAATAGAGCAGAACCCCCCAAATAAAGAACCAGTTTCCTTTAAATCCAATTTCATTCTGAATTATGGCTCTGGAGAACTGGAAATAAAATCTGTTCTAAGAAGAGTTCTCTCTCCTTTTGGTAGCATTTTTAAATGGGGTGTTCAATAAAATCGTTCCTCTTCTCTTTTATTTGTGACTTTTTTAAAAAAAAAGTATGGTACTTGACCCTGGGTAGGCTATTAATGATAGAATGATGAGGAAAACGAAGTACAAGTCACAAACTCATTTTTAGGGGACTCGGCCCTTCTTTTTACTTTTTCTTTCTCTCCTTTTTTCTTTATTTTTGAGAAAGTGTCTCGGTCTATCATCCAGGCTGGAGTGCAGTGACATCATCATAGCTCACTGCAACCTCCAACTCCTGGGCTCAAGTGATTCAGGCTTTCTTATACACTTAGGCTTAGTTTGTCAACTCATCTGATAGGCTTATTGTTTAAGCACTTAGATTCATTTTGTCATTGACAAATCACAGGAATAGATACTGCCCATGTGAATTTTGGGATAGTTTTAGATTTGATATATTACTTTTATTATTAAAATTCTATTTGTGGATAAGACTTCCACCATTCTGAGAAAGAATGGAGAACAAATTCTCCCTAGTAGAAAATTAAGAATTTCTTTTCCTAAAAGCAAGGGGATGGTATTTTTATGAAGGCTTTAATTTAAAATATCCATGCCCAAGTGTGGCTAGAGTGGCTTGAGCAAGGGAGAGAATAGTAGGATATAAGAGATTTTTAAGGGGGTCAGGTCATGTACAGAAACAGTCTTCAATTTGTTTTAACTCTTGTGCCCTTTAAAAGAGTTCTGGAAAGCTATTTTTTCTCAAGCATTGTAAACTGACTCTAAAATTTTTCATAGGTTTAAATAGTTGCTAAATGTAATTTCTGACATTTCTCAATACTGACATTTTTAAATTGTATCATTTTAAAATCTACCTAATGAAAAAGTAAACACTAAAGTGGTTTAATACTATCATCTATTTTTAAAGTGCATAAAAATGTTACATTTTGTTAAATATTGAACATGAAAAATAAAGTTTTGGGAATGTTTTAAAAAATATATATCCATGCCCTACACAGGTGATAAAATTGTTTGCAACTTAATGCATACACACAATTAATTACGGATAGAACTGGGGAACCTGAAAAAGTTTGGTGGGTTGTAGCAATGTCAATATCCTGATTGTGATAGTATACTACAGTTCTGCAAAAGGTTATCATTGGGAGAAACTGGGCTTAAGTGTAAAAGGAATGTTTCTTTGTATTGTTTCTTACCACTGCATATAAATCTACAATTACCTCAATAACAATTTAAATAAAAAAGATCTGTGGATTTTAACTGCTAGTTACCAACAAATATCTAATAAGTTCCAAACCTAGTGGGGATGGGGTTGAGTATTCTGATCAAATCCCGATGACAAAGTAATTATGAAGACACTGCTGGCCTGTTCTTGATTTGCTATCTAGCTAATGAAACAGGGAAAGCCCACATCAAGAACACTGAGGGCGAAGAAGAAATATCCAGCCAGAAACCAAGGCTATCTATCATGACCTGCTAGTCTGGAGCGATAAATACATGGTCCGTGTTTGACAGCAGTCCCAAATAGGACTGACACTTGAGGGCTGCTCAGTTTCCTCCTCCCTGGTGAGCAACAGTGACCACTGAAAATGGCACTGTTATGCTGCAGAGGGCTGGGATGAGGGCAGTTATCTCCCCCTTCTCCTAGAAGGCTAGGGGGAACACTGAAAACCCAGACCAAGGCAGGACTATGTAGCGGAGACTCAAAATGCCCGGATGAGGAACAGTTAAAGAAACTAAGCCAGAGAAGAAGACCTGGGAGGCAGGTGGCAGGGTGCTGGTGGTAACTGTTTTCTCAAATAAGAGAAGGGCAGTCAGAAGGAAGAGGAATCCATTTGTTTTGTGGCCCCAGTTGGTAGGAACCCCAGTGAAATTTTCAGTTAACTTCCAAGAGAAGAGATCTGATCCAATTTTTCACTCCTTTAAACAGTAAATAAAATGTATAGTAACAACAGTACTCCCGACAGGAGATATATGCTAGTATCTCAGGTCCCAGAAACAACTGCCAGCTAGAGTCTCTCTCCTTCCTCAGAAGTTAGGAGACCAAGCTCCTGTTTGTCGTTACGCAGTCCAAGCATGCAAAAAAAAATCAGTCACAAGCAACACTGCCCTCCCCATGCGCCTTTCTCTCAGAGGAGGAGATGCAAGAATGATCTGTGGGAAACTAGATTTAGATCAAACTCAGTTATAAAACAGTATTTGTTTCTACTAGAAACAAAAAAAAATTCTTAAGCAAATGCTAAAAATATGAGCTAATTAATGAACCTCACCTAAAATGTCAAAGATCTGCTTTAAAAGCAAGCTTCTCAGTCACCTGTATGTTAGCAGATCTCTTCATTGTCTAACGTCCATGCTCGGCTCCCTGGAAGCAGTGTGTGACAAAACGAGGAGTGGAAATGGAGTCCGAAGACTGAGTCTAGTTCCTCCTTCCACCACTTACTGGCTGTGTGACCCCAGCGATTACTAAAGTGACCTGGACCTCAGTTTCCTTATCTAGAGAAAATGACAAAGCTCCCTTCCACTGAGTTGTGACAAGAGTGTCAGGAGAGAATGTGAAAAAAACCTGGGCATAGAGAGGCTGCCAACAGAGGTCTGTCGAATCTCCATACGGCTGTGTACACATACCAGCATCCTCCAAAAGACTTCATCCCACAGTTTAAAATAGGAAGACAATGTCTCACCTCAGTTAAAGAAAACTGTCCGTTACTACGGTTGATCAGAAACAGAGGCACAAAACACACAAATGTGGATCTGAATTTTAATACTGAATCAGTAATACTTACAGCTATAACCCGGTAACCCCATCCAGTCAAGGCCAAAATCTGCCGGAAAAATACATCTGCAGTTCCACTGACAGGGGGCAGAAATATGAGAGGACACCTGATACTTCTGGGGCCTGCATCATAGAGTGACCATATCTTACTGTCATCATCATCTACGATAATCTGGAGGGAAAGTCATAAGAAAAAAATGGAAAATTTTGTGAATTTGCATTTTATGTTGTTATTTCACACTATAATTTCACTGATAATTTTAATCCGACTCCCTCATTTGTTACAAGGTAACCTGGATATCGCATCAGATTAACAGTGCATAACTAACTGCTCTGGTCTCTTTTTCTTTCTTCAGTTTTAAAATATTCCACAGAACTGCTTTATAATCTTTCACAGAGCTGGTTTTCTCTCAGTTTTTAATTTTCCTCTCTATCCACAATATAAAAAATCTATTTTATCATTAAAGTGTGTACGAGGCTTCCCCACACTCTGACTCTGTGAGTGTGTACACAAGGAGGGCAGTCTGCAGTCACTGTGCAGTTGCTGGCCCAGAGGACTGGCTGGGATCAGTAGGGTCAGAGTAGGAACAGTAGAGTTGAGGGAGACACAAGACTCCTGCCTCTAGAAAGAGGCCAGGTAGAAGGTGGAGATGGTACCAGCTCAGGAGATGTTTCAGGAACCCGATCTAGACCAAGCCTCTGCTACAGAGGAGGGATGAGGCAGGCGTAACTGTCACTGCCCCGGGAGAACTCTTCAAACCATTCAGTAGGGGGTGGGAAGTGGACACAGTGAGAAACTGGCTTTTTGGAGAAAAGCAGGTGGGGAAGAGGAAGTCATCAGAAATCTTCCTGATTTGGTGGTTCCTAACCCAACAGGAGGAAAAGATGAGTATAAATGAGCTGAGGCAAGTCAAGGCTCAGCAGAGAGCTTGGCACATATGAATGTTCAGTAAGTGTTAGCTATTATTGTTATTCACTGCATGCTAGTTTAATTTCTGTTTTACTTGGCTGACTTTTGGTGGTATTTAGATAAGTACATTAACTGCTTGGATGCTTGCCCATGCAAATCAACATACATGCTAATTTTATATTAAAAAATGTAAGGCCTCCAGGTTTGTTCTTCTGAGAGCTCCTGACTGGCAGGGCTGTGGACTCCAGAGTGTCACTCTGTGGGTGGCAGCATACTAAACTAACTGGTGTCACCAGGAGCAGACATACATGGGGCAAGGCAAAGTCTAGAGGGGCCCAACAATTTCCTTTGGATTTCCCAAAGTCACAGATGGTGACAACATATCTCAGACACTCATGTTTTTGCCCTGTGTATTTTGTCACTCACTTTTTTGCTTTTCTTGTTTCTTTTGCTATGACTGTGGTAAAAAAAAAACTCTCAATGACCTTTGACAGTGCACACATCCCAATCTTACAGTAAAAAAAAAAATCACGTGACATAACATGTTCAAATCTCTAATATTTTCTAGGAAATTATTTCAGTAATCTAATTTGGAAGAATAGTAATACATATAGAATGTTCTGGAAAGTAACACAGAAAATGTTCTGAATATAAGCCATAAATACTTAAATGTGTTTATCACATTTCCTACCACAGTGCCAGGTATATAGTAGGTATCCTGCCTATATCTAGAGAATTGTATTTTAGATTTCTATATACAGAGAATAATTTTGTGATTAATTCAAAATTGCATGAGAGTTTCACAGCTGTTTACTCTGACAAAATGATTATAACAGACACACAGAAGATTTTAAGGTCACAGTATTCTAATATTTCTGCAAAGGGAATCACAATAGATTTTACTCTGATTTGAATAGCCTTTATCTAGTGTGATCCCTAAACATTTGGGATTAATTTAGGAGTCAGTCAATACTCAAATTTGATATAAGTGTTTAGGATTTTCAAACATCCCAGGCAAATAAAGCTTCCAGAGGATGACTGTGGCAGAGTATGTCATTGCAAACAGAGTCTCTATAATGTGACCCACTGTAAATTTAAATCTGAGGAACAGGAATAGAATATGATTGTACTTACTATTCATGCTGTTGCTGTCAAGCTTTCTCCAAACTATACAGAGGAGTACACACATACCTGCTTGTTTGGATGTGTAAAAGGAATTATAAGAAATAAGTATAGTTATACCTACTTTTACTCTTGCATGAGTCTCAAAAGTCGACTGCATGTGGCAGGGAAGGGGTGAATTTTATGCTTTGCAACCCTGAATCATGATACTTGGCAATAACTTTACTCTCAAACACTACTAAGGCATAATATCTAAATCACACATAAAAACGATTTTGCAAATAAGAGGTGTAGTAAAACCATACATACCTTTTTAAGGGGAACTGTACTTCTAAACCAGTTATAATCAGGAGAGACTTTAATCTCTCCCATGATTAGCTGAAATGGAGGTTAACCCTGAAATAAAAGCAGGTGATGTTTCATGTCAAGAATTCATTTTTACATCAGAACTAAATGTAGAGTCTGGTCTAGTTATACCAACAATACTTTAAAAGTAAAACCAAGGAAATGACCTATTTTACCTTGTTCATATATACTTAAACTACAGAAAACAATTTGGTGAAATGCTATAATCACAGAACCAGAGGGCCCTTACAGATAATTATGCCAACCCCCTTAGTTTCTCCAGAAGAATGTGGTCTAGAAAATTTAAAAGACTGGCCGGGCGTGGTGGCTCACGCCTGTAATCCTAGCACTCTGGGAGGCCGAGGTGGCGGATTGCTCAAGGTTAGGAGTTCGAAACCAGCCTGAGCAAGAGTGAGACCCCGTCTCTACTGTAAATAGAAAGCAATTAATTGGCCAACTAATATATATAGAAAAAAAATTAGCCAGGCATGGTAGCGCATGCCTGTAGTCGCAGCTGCTCGGGAGGCTGAGGCAGTAGATTGCTTGAGCCCAGGAATTTGAGGTTGCTGTGAGGTAGGCTGATGCCACAGCACTCACTCTAGCCTGGGCAACAAAGTGAGACCCTGTCTCAAAAAAAGAAAATTTAAAAGACTTACCCAAGATCACATGGCTACTGCAGAGCTAGGACCAGATGTAGGACGATCATTTATGACTCCATAATGCTTGTCTTAGTCGAATCAACTGCAGTACCATCACCTATCTTTTGATAGTATCTTAAGAATCTATTTTATTTTATGTTGCTGGAATTTGTGACACATTTTATTTTTTTTAATTTTATTTATTTATTTTAAAGAAATAGGGTCTCACTTTGTCGGCCAGGCTGGAGTGCAGTGGGCACAATCATAGCTCGCTGCAGCCTTAAATTCCTAAGCTAGAACAATCCTCTGATCTCAGCCTCCCCAGTAGCTAGGACTACAGGCTCACACCACCACAACTGGCTACTTTTTAAAAATTTTTGTAGATATGGGGTCTTGCTACATTGCCCAGGCTGGTCTTGAACTCCTGGCCTCAAGCTGTACTCCTTCATCAGTCTCCCAAAGTCCTGGGATTACAGGTGTGAACTACCACGCCCAGCCAAGAACTCATTTTAATAAAGATGTTCTTGTCTGATTATACAGAACAGAATTATAAGGAACAGACCACGCTGGAGAAAGTAGTTTTTAAAGTAAGCTTGTTTCCTGATAAATTCACAATACACCATAAATCTAACTCTAAAGGAACATAACTTCAGAAACTCATGTGTAGTTCTTAATATAAAATACAGGCAAATCTGCCTTTCATATTGATGTGATTAAAAGTTACACAATGTCCTCTGAAAGATCTATCATATAAACTTGAGGGCACAATAACTAGCAATGAAACAAAACACTGGCCTTTAGAAAAAAATGTGTGGCCTTTTGTTGTAAGCTTAGTGACTTCTAGTTTTTATAGCTCTGTGACCTTGGGTAAGACATGACCCTTTTGGGTTTGTTTTCTTATCTATGACTGTTTCACACTGTATCCCCAAAGTCTAGAGCAGTGCTTGGCACACAGCAGGCATTATCTGTTGATTAAGGAGAATGAACTAGACCATCTAGAGTCCCTTCTAACCCTGGCATCTGTGAGCTTTGGACTGCTTAAGCACCTTCAATTTAAAGCCTGCCCCTCTTGCTTAGGGATCTGTGCTATATTCTAACAGGAAACTGAAATTATAGTTCCCTGTTGCTGATTCTTATTCAAGTGAGGGATTCTACCCATCAGCTGGGAAGGATTCAAATACTTGCTTTGCACCATGCCATCTACCTCAAGAGCAAGCCTAGATTCCTGACACGGCTGAGGTAAGTTTGAGACTCCAGGACTTAACTCCTGGGCTGACTCTGAAGTGTCATTTTAGGGAATGTTCTCTAGACTAACAAGGAGCAGGGGATACTAAACTCAATGGAATTTTTCCTCATTGCCCCTGAGATCTGCTCCCCTAGAGCCCTCAGTAGCTCAATTGCTACCTGAGAGAGTCACCAAGCTGAACCTCAAGGAAACAGTAAATATAGACATTCTAATATTGAACTTGATTTACAACATTGACATTGTAATAGTGGTTTCTTCTCTCAAAACTAAGAGAGTGCTTTTAGAAAAGTTTGTTAAAAATCACAAATTGCTTTAAAGTACCAAGAAAATCATCAGCTAGTCTTATGCTGAAAATCAATGTGCATAGATGTATTCATACTGCAATAAAAAAAATCATTCTTTGTATACCCATTTTATCTTAAATATTAACATGTTAAAAATCTAAGCCATTTTAACTACAGCCCTTCTCTAAGCTGGTTGTTACTTTTAATCGAAAGCAATTAGCACATATAGTTAATTCTGGAATATTTTCTACCTGGACACACTTGAAATACTCCCATATCATCTAAAAATTTCCTAATGGAGGAATTTCCTGGTATTGCATTACTAGAAACAATTACCCTATTTTTACAGGAGGAATATGAAAAACAAGTTTAGCAAAAAAAGTCTACTCAATAGATTTATAAAACACCTTAGCCAATTACAGAAAGTTTGCTACTATAGTCATCAGACTTAGGATAAACTGAATTATTCATAGCTTTGGAATCCATTCTAATGCACAGACCAAACTACCATACAAATACACAGGCACACAAATTCACTCAAGTCATCCACCTATTTCCCATACCAGTAAGTAGAAAGATGTTCCTTACCAATAGTCCTCAGTATTAATTCACGACCACCTCAGTATTATAACATGTTATATAACTAATCTTGCCGGATGGAGAGATTCCACCCAGCTGTGACTAAATTTTTGTAGAGACAAGTGATTTAACACTTGTGCTAGTTTGGCAGTACATGAAAGATAAAATGGATACCAAATGTTGCATCTGACCAACTGACGTCTAAGTGAAAAAAGCTCACTGCTGCATAGGGAAAGCAGCTGAGTGTTATGAAAAGAAGTTTGTTCTAGCTCTCTTTCATCCACTAAAGGAGTATACTTTTCCAAGTCACAAGAGGAACATTCCATATATGGCAAAGAAGGCTGAGATTGCGACGAAACTGGTCAATACTAAATAAGAAAGAATGTGAACCATGAGCTCAACACTGATTTGATCTCTCATGATTTAGTTCTTCACAAAAACAAAAGCACCTGTTCATGCTGGTGGGAAAATGGCAACAGAGATTAGTCTTAATCTTGCCTAAGGAAACTCCTCTTCCAGTGAGCTATGGACACCTGGTCCTCCATGGCCCTTGTGCTGGACAATAAAAACTGCCAGTTGTGAGTGTGCACCTGTCCCTCAGGGTTTCAACAGAATCTGCCAGTTTAAAGTCAATAAAATCAGCCGGGCGCGGTGGCTCACGCCTGTAATCCCAGCTCTCTGGGAGGCCAAGGCGGGCGGATTGCTCGAGGTCAGGAGTTCGAAACCAGCCTGAGCAAGAGCGAGACCCCGTCTCTACTATAAATAGAAAGAAATTAATTGGCCAACTAATATATATACAAAAAATTAGCCGGGCATGGTGGCGCATGCCTGTAGTCCCAGCTACTTGGGAGGCTGAGGCAGTAGGATTGCTTGAGCCCAGGAGTTTGAGGTTGCTGTGAGCTAGGCTGACGCCATGGCACTCACTCTAGCCTGGGCAACAAAGTGAGACTCTGTCTCAAAAAAAAAAAAAATATATATATATATATAAAGTCAATAAAATCACCTTTACAAATGTTTTAAGTCACATAACCAGCTTAACTGGCCAGAGGTTTCTGCTCTTTTATCTCAATCTATAGTTGATCTAAATATAGACAGTTTGTGATTATTAATATCAGTAATTTGTGATTATTAATATCAGTAATAACAAATATTAGAACCTGTGAGTCTCTAAGCAATTCAAGTGGCTTTTTATTTATTTATTTTTTTTTTGAGACAGTGTCTCACTCTGTTGCCCGGGGCTAGAGTGCCATGGCATCAGCCTAGCTCACAGCAACCTCAAACTCCTGGGCTCAAGTGATCGATCAGCCCTTGCCTCAGCCTCCCAAGTAGCTGGGACTACAGCTATGCGGCACCACACCCGGCTAATTTTTTCTATTTTTTGTAGAGATGGGGTCTTGCTCTTGCTCAGGCTGGTCTCAAACTCCTGACCTCAAGCAATCTTCCTGCTTCAGCCTCCCAGAGTGCTAGGATTACAGGTGTGAGCCACCGCACCTGGCCTCAAGTAGTTTTTTAATGCATGTCTACATCCCTCACCATATCTGAACTGTAGGTAGCTATCCCCTTTTAGATCTCTGAAGAGTTATTCCTCTTTTCTTCAAGAACCATTCCATTATCTCTAAATCTCATGGGCAGAAAAGCTGCCTATTTGACATCTCATGTGACACCTTTTCATGCTGTTGGTACAAAAGCTTTCGGAATTTGGACACAGCTATTAAGTTACTCCTCAGTCTGTTGAATCTTTGTACGAACAGGAGCCGGACCATTGTAGGTGGAGACAAAGCAGTAGCACAAATGTCTAACTTACAACTCTCCAGGCAAATGAAACGAGGAAAAGTGAGACTGACCCTGCTACTTTCCTTATTTCCCCATTCACAAGCCTCACGCCTCCCCCTACTGAGCAATGACAAAGACATTCGTCACTTTCAGGCTGAAGTGCAATCTCCAAAATAACTGGTGTCTGTTCTTAAAAGTTATGGAAAGAAAAAAAAAAAATGTTCCTGGGCTGCAGCCGTGCGGCCCCAGGATGAACCCATCACGATTACAGAAGGATGCCCTGGTTCAGCCGCGCCCCCGCCTCCCCGGAGACGCACACACAGCGCCTCACCAGCCCCTCTGGTGACAGCCACACAAAGGCAGGGGCACTGGCACACGGACCACCCCTACGAGCTCAGGCTCGGCCTCAGGCACACACAGGGGTATGTGATCACGTGCACGGTCACATGGACCGGCCCACTCAGAGCCACACGCACAAAGTCACACCGACAGAGCCAGCAGCGCTCGCTGTATACACACCCACCCACAACACCCCCCTCACCGCACACCCACACACGCGCTTCCCAGGGCCTCGCCCACCCCTCACCTGCCGTGGCCGCCCCCACGTCTCTTTCCCTCCTCCCCAAGGCGCCTCTTCGCTCCACTACCGGCGCGGACCGTGGAGGCGGCCGGGCCGGGGCGGGGGTGGCGGCCGGAGCGTCGGGACCCGCTGGCACAGCGAGCGGAGGGCGCGCGGGAGGCGGGCCTCTGAGGGGCGGGGCGCGCGGCCTGACGAGACTGGGCCGCCGCGCTCCCTCCTCCCGAACCGTCCGCTCTGCGGGCGCGAGCCTCCCGCTTCCGGGTTCGGAAGGGGGCGGGGCCACGTCGCGAGGAAGGGGCGGGGCTGCGGGGCTCTGGCGGTCACTATGACGACGGGGAGAGTGGGCGACGGCGTGACCGCTGGATTGGAATGGAGGTGGGAGTTTCTTTAGGTGCGGCTGTGTTTACCTGCATGACGTGGGCACCCAGGAGAAAGTTGTGGGAGTGTTAGAAGAGGGTGCCTGGCCCCTTGGGACCTGCTTCTGCTTTCAGTTCGCGTCCTCTCCGTCGTGTAAAGCATTGAGGGGACACCTTTGGGTTCCAGGCTTTGGTGAACAGGGGTTCCTGTACTCTTTTCTTGGTAAGATTTTTTCCCCTTTGGTACAACCAAAGCCCTCACCTCCTTTTCCAGCCTGTGCTGACGTTCTGGGGATTGCTGGCAACACACTCCCACCCAGCCTCCTCATTCCTTCATCACTTCGCCCTTAAAGGCATAGAGAATATTAATGCATTTATAATCATTGTTCTTAAGCAAGCTGTTGCAGACATCACGACTCCTTTTTTTGGTCAAATAATTGCGGGTGTGCACTGAAGTAATATATGATAAAGTTGAGTAACAGGTAAATCTCCTTTTTTGAAGTTTTTGTAGGGATCCTGCAACAAGGTTCTGTTGAAAGTGCCTCTTCCTAATATGTTTTAGGGAAAGCTTGTACCCTGTTTTTGGACCTATCGACTTTGTCCTTACCCAGGCAACTGTTTGTGGGATTAAGGTCAGGGGAGATTCCAATTAAATTGCATCTTTAGTTATGACTTCTGCCCTCTGGCTCAGTCAAGACAAATTCCAAACACATTTCCCAAGAGCAACATGACACACTCACCTATTTTTTTCCAAATCACCTCTTTTGGAGTTGCAAGTCAATAACAGGAAGTGATCATTTATTATAAGCACGAAGTAGGTGTACAGAGCATGTTTCCACAGAAAAATTTAAACTTCAGAGGTCTTTTCTCAAAAATTTGAAATACTTCAATGAGTGGAATAACTAGCACACCACTGACTGTATGTAAAAGCCATGTGGGCACTCATTACATTAGTTATCTATTTCCCCAGGTAGACTGGGAACCTCAGTCTAGAACAAAGGTAACAGTGATTCAACCAGCGCCTTAGCACATGATCTGGCCCATAAATAATGGGTACTAAATATCTATTGAATTAATGAATGAATAAATCTATCCACATCTATTCCTAAAACTATTCCTTAGACTCCACATCCATAGACCTCACTTTAGTATTAATAACAGCCATAACATGACCTAATCTATGGATATACCCATATATTAGAAGTCCTTATTCTGTGAGTGTGGTAATAATTTTTAATATGACTATTAATAACAAACATATCACTATGGAGATATATTTTGTTACATAGCTACTTTTATTAAATATAAAAGATCAAGCCAAAAATAATGAATGTTTTTATTGTTTCCCTTAGAAAAGGACCCCATGGTCATGTTTGTATCCTCAGTTGTTCCATGACACATGGCAAGCACGTTGTCCATTCCCTAATCCCAACAAGGAACATTTAATATCTGTGAATTCCAGCTGAACTGTAATGCACAACTGCAGGCAACAAACTTTTGAGCCAGGCAGGCCACAGTGCAGGCAGACCTGGTGGACAGGGCTGTAAGGATTTGCAGCTGTTGTGGCTGGGGTCTGCCAGATGGTTCCCATAGCACCAATCCAACTGTGAGAATCTCACTGAAAAACTGGAATGTTCACAAAATATGCTGTAAACACCAAGTAAAGTAAACAGATGGCCAGCTGATTGTCAGAATTGCCCAAACCCAAGCTCTGTCCCTCTTAATTGATCTTTTGACAGGATATTTATTTTAAAATACACTTACAGAATAATCCTAGATATGTCTCCATGCATATATGCATTTTTTTAAATGTTGAGAAAGCTTGATACCAAACAGTATAGTTACTACTGGGAGAAACTGGGGTTGGAGGGAGTAGCAAAAGAGAGCTTTGATTTATTATAGTATTTGCTTAGTATTTGAGTATATGTGCACATGTAATTATTTATATGATCAAAATAATTATAAAAGCAACTATATTTGTGTGATTCCCCTGCTCTAAATCCTTCAATAGCTCCCCACTGCCTTCAAGGTGAAGTTCAAGTTGTGGTTTGAATGTATAGTTCCAGCTATGCAGGAAGCTGAAGAGGGAGGATCGCTTGAAGCCAGGAGTTCAAGACCAGCATGGGCAACATAGCAAGATCTTGTTTCTAAAAAATAAAAAGTTCAAGGTGTGCAGACTAGAGGAGGTCTGGCTCTGGACTCTGCTCTGTATGGGACTCATGTGCTCCAGCTGTACCAGCTGCTTGAAGGGCTCCACATACCCCATGATATCTCAGTCCTCTGGGCTTTTATGTATGCTTTTCCCTCCACTGGACCCAGTAGAGTAAATACTATAATATTTTACCCCCAGGAGCTACAGATGTGTAAAAAAGTGAAAGAGAAAACACTTAATTTTTCAGACTAATACTAATTCTTGGAATACTATCCCTTTAAAGCTTTTCAGGGTACAAATGACCGCAGTGTTATATGCCAAATTATGCTGACACTCAAGATTGAAAATGAATGCTGTTTCCTCACTGCCAGACCACTGCACTGTCAAATGCCTACTGTGCTGGATTATGGGAATCAGACAGAGCGGGTATTCTGGAACTGCCTGAGAAAGATGCTGACATGGCTGTTCTAAAGCTTGTTCCCTAAAGGCCTTAACAAATAGAAGTTATATACAGTTATTTGTAATTAATAATTTATTAGTTGTCATCTGGGACTTAAGAAACCTGAGTTTCATCCTTGGGCAAAACATTTCCTCTTTCTAGGTCTGGTTTCCTTCTCTGTACAATGAGGCCAAGGTTGAACTAAATAATCTCTTAGTTCTTTCCAACTCTAAGATTTTATATTTTATAAATTTATGAGAAATATATTAAAGAATCTTTACAACAGCCTTTCCTTAAAGCTGCTCTTCTCTGATAATACTTCCCCTCCTTCTTGCTTCCAACCAAACTTAAAAAAAGCAGACTGCAAACAAAAATGCCTATTTAATGGAAATGATATTTTAATTTCTTGGAAAAGTTAATGTTTGCTCATTATAAACTTTTTAAAATAAA